TCTGGACTTTCTCAATTGTGCTAATATCAGATACGTAATGAGGGTTCACCAAAATGTCCCTAAATTCGTAGCTAGATTGCACTTGGATACAGAATCACCATTTAACTCCTGGCCCATAGGCCAGATGTGTTACGTGCTGGCCATGTCCACACCCATTTTAGTCATGGGGAAAAAAGATCATGTGATGCTGCTCTGGCAACGTGAGTTTGACACTCCCGAACCAGCCCATAAATTTCCTCTCATGCAGATATATTTTAATCATCATTTTAACTGGGACTCTTCGTGGATCAGTTGTTAATTAATTATTCCAATGTTTGTAGGTCAGCCAAAAACCTTTGGAAGCAACATGCAGCAGTGGCGGTGAGTTTGAGATCTTGGTATTGCGCCCATGAGCCATAATACTTTACCTATTAATGCCTAAGCTGTCAACTAAAGTTCTAGTCCATGATCACTAGAAATGTTTGATGCTAGAAGTATTTTCTCAGCACCAAAATGGATTTTAATGTAGGCCTAATATGCCGAGCAGATCTAAACAAATCGCAGTATAGTAGCTTTTATAAACAGAAACTGAAATGCAATGCCCAAACAAGTAACTCCAATATTTATTTATTTATCAATTTTATAAGGCCACCCATCTATCCAATAAAATCGAGTGATGAAGCATACAATATGAAACATTAGCAACAAAGCAACAACAAAACACAGGTTAAGCCCCCCTCATTAAAACTACAAAAGACTTGTGAGATACATACATGTCAAGGCTCTCAAACAAACAGCCTGGTTCCACTGCCTAGGGGAATTAATAGACTTGGGGACAAAAATTATTATTTTCAGAATAAAGATTCTAAAAAATGGGCTATGTCTAAAGAAAGCTTGAAGGATCCAATCTGGGTTGGTCACAGGGACCACAGGTGTAGTGTTCTGAGCTTTTGGACTTGTGCTGGAGCCCATCCTCAGGGAACTTCTCTGTAACAGAGTGTGTGCTTTGGGCTATTGTGCTTTGGGCCAGTGGTCCCCAACCTTTTTTGTACCATGGACCGGTACAATCCATGGACCGATCCACGGACCGGTACCAGCATCAGCACACGCGACCAAGGCAAGGCGAGCCGAGCGACCGGCCAGCCAGCCGTCCCCTGCTTCTCCCCGCCACCTTCAACTCCTCCTTTGTACCTTCTCACGGTCGATGGGCTTTTCGGGCTCTTTCTTAATCTCCTCCTGAGTAACGCAAGACTCCACCGCCATCGGGACAGCTCTTCGTTCGAAGCCGCCCCCCCCCTTCGACGAAACTAAGGCGCGAGGATTTCTTCAGCACCCAAACGCCGCTTTCCAACCGACGACCGACAAGCTCACCCGGAAGCACTTTCTCAAGCGCCGTTGAAACAAGATGGCGGCGCCCAAGCAAAATAGGCGGCCCGGTACAAAATGATCCACGGACCAGTACCGGTCCAGGGCCCAGTGGTTGGGGACCACTGCTTTGGGCTATTGTGCTAGAGAGAAATTCCCTGAGGATGGGCTCCAGATGAGTCCAAAAGCTTGGAAAACTAAACCTTTGGTCCTGGTGATTGATCCAGATTGCATCCCGCAACATTATCCTGGGACAGGTATATTTACTTTCATTCATGAAAGAAAGCTTATTTCAGAATTGTCCACTACATAGGCAATTAAAGGGAGTTTGGAGGAGATTAAAGGAAATGTTTTGTCTAGTCCATCTTGCCAAAATGTTCTCTACAGGCTTACCGTGAAGAATTCATTGCGGAGTGGAGGAAGCTGAAATTGGACGTCATCCTCTGTCCAGTCCTGGGACCAGCTTTTAATGAAGGCTATCCCGGGAAACTATTTGGTATAATATCCATTTACTTTTGATGGCTTTTATTTATGGTTTCAGAAAACAACACTGAAAATCTTGCCTCTTACATCTTAAAAAAGCTATTTGCCAAGTGCTTGCAAAGGTCCAGAAAAATATTTAGTCATTAATTTTGAACAAATTAATCTTTAGAAATATTTCAGGTTGCTAATTACCATCTCGTTGTTTCTATTGCACTTTATATTCTGCATTGCTTTGCAAGTTACACTTACATATTTAAATGTTAAAATTTAAATATCAAAATTGAAAAATTTCTCCCAGAAACACCAGACAATTAAAAAATAGCCTTGATTTAAATTTTCCTTCTCAGCATTGAGAAGCATATAACAAGTCATGCTTTAATCTTCTCCCAAAGCACTGCTGACCTAAAATATAGTTACTTCACTGTGGACCAGTCTGGCTGGAGGGGGAAAAAAAAATCTAGTTTTCAAATGGAAAACCCAAATCCAGACCAAAGCTTAGTAATACCTGGTTCAGTTTCAATGACTGGAGAAGAGGAATGATAAAGGGGATATTTATGACTAAATATTTAGTCATTAATTTTGAACAAATTAATCTTTAGAAATATTTCAGGTTGCTAATTACCATGTAGTTGTCCATGGCCACAAGAATATTTCCTGGACTATTTGTAGAACTTCGATTAACTTTTGTTCTGCTCTTTTCAGCTGCTACTTCATATACCAATTTATACAATGTCCTGAACTTCCCTGCTGGGGTTGTGCCAGTCACTATTGTCACCCAGGCCGATGAAGAGGAGCTGAAACAATACCAAGGTCATTATGCTGACCCCTGGGATAAACGGCTGAAAGAGGTCTGTATGGTAGCGGAAAGAAACAAGCTATCTTTCTGGAAGTTAAATCATGTAGTTGACTCTTCCTGTTCTGACCGTCCCTCTATCTTCAGGCTGTCACGGATGCTGTGGGTCTCCCTGTAGCCGTCCAGTGTGTGGCTTTGGCTTGGCAGGAGGAGCTGTGCCTTCGGTTCATGAAGGAAGTAGAGACCCTCACCTGCAAGAACAGACTGAAAGCATAATCTGTAGCCCAGGCTTATGGTTTCTCTTCAGACTGGATAGTCTCCTGCAAAAAAAAAAAAAAAAGGAAAATAATAAACAATTCAACATGGCACAGTCAGAACTGGAACACGTTATAAATTCTTTGTAAAGTATGGTAAATTATACCTTACTTTAACACATAGCAGAAGTGGTTGACCTTATTTAGACTTAAAAACTAAGTTGAACAAAGCCTGGTTAATATTTAGATGAGACATTATAAGTGAGTTATTTTCTGGTAAAGGGCAATGACAAACCATTTCCATTATGTTGCAAGAAAATTACATCTATGCATTCACAAAGTTACTGGGAACTGAGCTTGACTTTATTATTATTTTTAAATATAACTCATCTGAAGAATTGAAAAAGAGCATATATCAAAGGAAATCTATTTATCAATAGGGCTTAGTTAGATGACAAGTTGGTATCCAAATGATACTATTTTTAATAATTGTTGGATGCACATTTGTTTTTTAATATTCCCCATTTGTTTGGCTTTTGAAATCACCAGGAAAAAACTACCATGTTCAAGAAAAGACTAGACTAGAATTTTACTATTTTTGACCAGGTTTCTATGCACAGAGATTTGTTTTGATTGTGGTAGGGAGAAGAATTGCTATACGAACACCCTCATTTTTAGTTTGAAATTGTGGATCAAAATGCACAAGTTCTCTATATTATACATTGCATGTGGAAACTGAGGCAAAAAATGCCACAGCTAACATTGGTGGACTTTGAAAAGACACTGATAGATTAAAATTGGAGAAAGGACTAGTCTGGTTTAGGCAAATGTGGACAATTCATAGACTGTGTCAAGGCTCTGACCAACAAACCCAAGAAAATCAGAACTCTGAGGCTTGGCTCTTTCTCAAAGATCTTCTTTAATGAGTACACCATATCAGCACAGCTTCAATGGAAAACCAAATCTAAACCTTTCCCATGGTTTCAGTATAATTCAAATAGGAAATAACCCCATCCCCAAGTGTCACAGGTCACATTGGCCAATTGGGTTAATTGGAGGGCTCTTTAGGACCTCCTTCTCCAACCTTATCTGTTGCTGGTAGAGACGATTTTGGTTCTCATGAGAAAACTCTTTGTTGTGTCTAGTAATGCATTTCAACCTCCTTCCCCTTCTGTGTGGCAACTGAGGAACACAAAGATGGCTGCAGCCAGGTTCAGTTTGAAGTTGACAGACTGTTTGCAGCCCTCACATCCTATGATTGCCCAGCTGAAGTTCTCCAGCAAAAAGGACAGATATCATTGAAGTGATCTGAGTCTGTTTTTCACAGGGGTGATTGTTTTAAGAGAGAAATGGTAATAATTTTCCTAAGAGACCTCATTCTCCTACTCCTACCTTCTCCCAAAAGGGGGAAAAAAAGGGCGGGGGGTGGGTGGGAAGCACCACTCTTTCACTGGTAATTGCTGTGAATATTCCTTCAGAAGTTTGGTAAGTTGAAGCCAAGTTAAGAATCCCTACCTCTCAAATGATGCCAGCCCTGATTTTGGTGATGGAGAAGTTGCTGCCTCAGGCCTCTCTAGCAGGAACAATGGTCTTTTTCCTTAATTTTAATAGGAATTACTTACATATTGCCCCCAACAATGTGGATCCTCATTTTATCAAGTTCTGAAGGATGGAAGTCAACTTTGAGGCCCCTCAGAATCAAACGCTACACTGTGGGCAGAGTTTGCCTGCATTACTGCACTTAGCCATTGTACCACCAGGGGTCCTGCTTGGGTGAGAAGGTATTTAAAACTGAATAGAGTGTCTGATGGATACTTTCCAGCCTTGTTAAAAAAAATCAGTGGGTTGTTTGCAGATGATTTCATCACTTCTTGGAATATGGATAGTCCTATCCTAGCAATGTGTTCACAGGTAGAATTGAATGCATGAGAAGCCGTGTGCAACTCTTCCCTTCAAGTCATGCTGTTGAGGTCACTTTTGAGAGGTGGCATCTATAGAAGGACTACATCCAGTGCTAATAACAGTGATTCCATTTTGAATTTAAAAAAAAAACCCACCAGCACAAAGCCCCAGCTAAGTGATGCAATCATGCCCACTTTTTCACAGCATTTTGAAAGAATGTTTTGCATGTTGGAACATGAAGGGAAGCACAAAGTCAAATATGTAGACATTCATTTTTTTTAATGTCAAGTATTCTTATTGCTACAGAAGATTAGCCAATGATGAAAAATGACCAAAATTGGTAGGTGTAATGCTAACTCCTCAGAAAGGAAAGGCCTTCTTCAGGAACAGGATACAGCAATCTTTAAACAGCATTTTATGCAGAATAAACAAAAAGCATCACAGGTTTCCAAGAGGCATCTTTAATTCTTTGACAATTGGAGGGTTTTACTAGACATTTTGAAAATTCTGCTTTTTCATATTATTTTTTTATAGTTTGGGGAGTGGTGGTTCTATACATATGCTCCTTTGGTTGATAGTCCCAATACTTTTTCAAAGTTCCCAAGACATGGCTGGTCATGGCACCCTTTAACAAGGGAAAGAGTTTTATCTATGTTGCAACCTGCAGTATCCCTCAGCCATGCAGATATGGAAATGAATTAAACTTCCCTTGAGGCCTGAGAATAAGTGAAATGGGGTATGGAATTTAATTAATGGAGAGAGAAGAATTTAGGAGTGGGAGAACTGAAAACAACAAGAGCGGGAAGATGGAAAATAGCTTATGAAATATAACCTCAATTCTAGGGTGGGGAAAGGAATGTAGGCAACTGGTGATATTCTTCCTCACTGGAGGATTAGTGAATCCACAACACAAAATATGGTTACCAAGGGATACGGCAAGCAATTTCAACCTTGATTTATCCATGTCAAATTTCTTAAATGCATCCTTTTGTTTATTTCTAATATCAGAGATAGTGAATATTCCCTCAGCCTTCCTCTTCTGTTGGGGAAAAACAACAACTTGAAACTGAAATTTTCAAAACTGAGATTAGAAGAACAAATGTACTGACAAATACTGGATAAATTTTTAATACTGACAAATACTGGATAAATTTTATCTTCAGCGTAATTGTTAGCAAATGCTACAATGCAGAACCACGAAGAATAATGAGTCTCCTTAAAGGTTTTTTTCCCCCTTCCTGGGAAAATCATCATACATCCATAACAAACAGGAAAAACAGCTAAGTAAGTGTCAGTGTCATCTCTTTGGAATCACATAGAATATATCTTCTTCATGATGATTTGTAGTTAACCTGGTCTTTTAGGCAGAACTACATCTACATGGAGAGAAAAGTAAAAATACTGGCATCTTTTTGCCTTTAAATGTAAATGCTACAGAATTAGTATTTAAAAAAAATAGCAAGTACTTCTTAGGTATTTGCATTTAGTTTTGGAGTCATTTGCCAAAACACAAAAACTAAGAATTGTCTACTCAGAGAAAAATTACTTAAATCTTTATACAAATCCTTCCAGAATTTTTCAGATCTGTTTTGTGGAATTTCTTCAATATTTTTTTTTCATCGTATCCTTGCTAGCATTTATAGGAGGAACAAATGTAGGAATATTAATTGTTCAATAAAAATGTAGTCTGTTAAACTGGTTAAGGACTTGAGGAAAGTTGGCTCTATAGCCAAGAATTGTATTCTGGTTTACTTAACAGATTGTAATCTGGCAAGTGAGTCAACTATTATGGTTTTTTTTTAAATGCAAATAACTATCTACTTTAAAAATGTGTAGCCTTGCACAGCTTCAGAACTGTTTCCAGTATTACAGACCTTTGCCCAAAAGTAAATCTAAACTATGGATCTCTTCTCTTGTGGAAAAAAAGCTGCACATATTCAGAAGGATTTACGTTTGATGTATTACTTCCAACATTTCATGAGACTGCACACTTTCTGTAATAAGGGGCATGCAGGACAGATCAAAAAAGTTATGTGCCCCCTCAGCATGTCCTATGTATGACACACATACATGTGAGACCCCTCACATCCTGGACATAAACTGTTTCAACTCCTTCCCTCAAAATGACGCTATAGAGCACTGCACAGCACAACAACTAGACACAAGAACAGTTTTTTCCCGAAAACCATCACTCTGCTAAACAAATAATTCCCTCAACACTGTTCAACTATTACAAAGTCTGCACTACTATTGCTGTTAATCTTCTCATCATTCCTTATCACCCGTCCCCTCCCACTTGTGACTATGACTGTCGCTTGTATACTTATGATTCTTTGTCGCTTGTATACTTATGATTCTTATTGACTGTTTCCTAATATGATTTGATTGCTTATTGCACCCTATGACTATCATTAAGCGTCTTACCTTATGATTCTTGACTCTTGACGAATGTATTTTTTCTTTTATGTACACTAAGAGCATTTATACCAAAGACAAATTCCTTGTGTGTCCAATCACACTTGGCCAATAAAGAATTCTATTCTACATATAAAAGAAGTGGAGCTTTAATGACATGGATGCGACTACCATATTGAAGGTTTTTTTTAATACTCTCCCTTGTGCATGCTTTTGCTGTAATGGCCTCAAAGCAGACACAGTGTGTGACAAACAGAAAGATAGAACTATCTTTCTTCATATCTAGCTATTTCTTCTTGAAAAGAAATAAATTTGGATCTTAATTCCAGCTTTCTCAGCCGCATCACTTCTCTCCTTCATTCGATTTTCTTTACAAAAAGAAAAGAAGGAAAAAAGCTAAGCTAGTATGAAACTGTGGTGCAATCCTTCATATGCCTATTCGGATGTACCATTAACTTTAATTGGGATTATTTCTAGCAAGTATGAATGCTTTTCTTTTTTTTTAAAGAATGACATTGCAACCTGATATATGAAGAAGGTCTAAGAAAACGAAGAAGGTCTAAGATTTAAAAGAAATAAATGTTTCCTTTTTTGAGTGATAGAACAAGTGGTGGATAAAATCATCAAAGCTAGAAATGTGACAATTGGTTATTGGAATGAGGGGTGACAAAAATAAAACTTAAAGTGGATTTGGATGAAGTGGATTGAGATTAACAGCCACAAGTACACTGTCTGTTTCCAAGTTCTTGCAGAGGCAAGTTAGATGCCAAGAAAGGCAAACTGAAGAAAGAACATAAGCATTTGCAACAAAGCAAGGACTAAAAAATATTATAGTTTCCTGATCATCCTGAGGATTGCATAGATGTTCACATTGTGTGTGTGAGTGTGTGTGTGTGTGTGTGTGTGTGTGTATCCCTCAAACAGCCGACATGACTTTGTTTTTTTAGATACTTTTTATTCATTCTGATTTGGATGGATGGATGCAGTATGTCATGCCCCTGTTGGAGTCTGACTCTGAAGGAGAGGAGGAACAGCTGACAGGGAGTGGGAGTGTGGCTCTGGAGGTTGTGAAGGAAACTGGGGAAGGGCACAGGCCAGCTGGGCAGCCAGATGAAGACCAAGGCCCATCCCCTCTTCATCCAAGGGCACGCAGGGAGGAGCAGATAAGGGAGAAATGTGAATGGTATGGTCTATGGGGGAGGAAAGGGTCCTGATCCCCTTCATGGGCTGCAGCTGTGAGGACATTTTATAAGGACAAATTGCGCATGGCCAAGTGCTGGAAGCAAAGTGTGAAATAATTCTAGTCTTTCAGTTCTTATCTGAGTTCTGGCGTCCTTCCCAGTGTGTGTATTTTGATATCTGTGGATGTCTTCAAGCCCTTATCCTGCCTTGTCTCATTAATTGCTTCAGTGTGGTTTGTGTTGTTTTTTCTATTTATAATTTATATGTATTTCAGTTTGAATGGCATTTCTTCCTTTTTGCAACTGTTTTGGGGGGAGTTTTTTCTCCAGTCAATGATAATTGGACCTTTGAAGCCAAGTTTAAGGAATTAAAGAGACTTCACCTGTTTTTGGGACTTTGTTGCTTTTGTATCCCACCCTGGGCCATGACACAGTAACATTTAGTGGAATATAGAAAGGAACAGATGGATCATCTTATATTGCTAAAGTGACATGTTGTATAGTACATCGGAATGTTGTGATAGCTAAGCCAACAATTTTCCCTTGAAAGATTCTTCTACAGGGATACTTTTCTGGAAGTTCTTTATTCCTTATTCGTCAGGCTTCTATCTGTCAGTTGCTTTGACTTGACAGCGTCTGGGTGGGCTTAAGAATCACCACCCACTTCCTTTCTCTGTCGTTTCCATTAGCTCCAGGGAACACAGTCTTAGCAGCCTTTTCGGATTCTGAACAGTGAGAAAAAACCTCACACTATGGCTCTAGAGAAGGTTAAGGAGCTCTTTCCAGAGGCTGAAGTTGACAGGCGCCTTGTCTCAGGCTTGCTTTGTGGCTCAGCGGCTGCCCTTCTGATGTTCAAATGGATGAATCAGATACGGGTCCAGAAGAAACTTGATGAATTCAAGACCAAGCGAGAACATGGGTTTCAGCGAATGGAGAAGGCAGCAAAGCAGTTTAAACAGCAGGTATTGTGGCATTTGATTGAAGAAAATAAGATTTCCTTCTTTTTCCTAATTTTAGAAAATAACAGGCAAATTCATATGCACAAATATTTCACTGAACCATGATCTCTGCATTATGGTTTCTGTTTTGCTTAAGAAAATGCTAATATACATTTTATAATATATAGTGGTATTATGGTACCTTGCTTGCCAGGATCTATTTCATATTTAAGGTAGTTATTTTCATCTTTAGAAGTAATGGTTTGCTGCAAATTTTGTACAGTGCTATAGTTAATTTCTTTTCCATATCTTTTGGCTAAGGCTCCTGTTGCTCTGTGTTTCCTATTTAACACTAGGAGCCTCTTAATGTTCACACATACTTTGTGTCATGAGGGAGGCAGGAGAAGGCATAAGATCTCTTTTGCCTTCTCTCCTGGCATTTAAGCTGCCTTCTCAACGCAGCTGTCTCTGCCCACTTTTTAGCAGGAGGGTAACAAATCATCCACCATAAAAACCAGTGGATATTTGAGCTTAACATTTGCCAATGACTGTTGACACATGTCAGGATTATGCTGAGGTCAGTATGCCTGGGAACAAAGAGCAAGCCTCTTGTCTTCCTTCTTGCACAAAAATGTGTGTGTGTGTGTGTGTGTGTGAGAGAGAGAGAGAGAGAGAGAGAGACAGAGAGAGAGAGACAGAGAGAGAGACAGAGAGAGAGAGTGAGACAGAGAGACAGTGAGATAGAGAATATACCATGCTGAGTTAGGACTTTCAGTGAAGCCTTCACTGTACAATACAATATAGAACTCAGGAAGAACAATCCCTAGTTTAGAAAGAACTCTTGTTCCCTTCATTATGTTTCAGCATAAACAGGAATGTTCTTTATCAAGATATTTATATCATGCAGACCTGTTGCTGGTTGTTGGGGCAAAATCCTAATTGGAGGGTCTGAAATTGGAACCTGATAAGATTACATGCAGCATGGAGAGTAAACATAAAATGAAGGACTAACAATGAGAGGCAATATGCTTTTTATTTTCATAAACGTGAGATGAAGGCGGCTGCATCTTAACTGGTTACAGAAAACAAGATTTGGTGCAGCGTTGTGCCTGGATTCCAATGCTATACATTGTCAGTGAATCCCAGTTGGTGTAATGATACGTGGGAATAGCCTTGGGAGACGGAAGGAAGAGTCTCAAACTAGACAATGGTCTAATAAGAGGCAGCTGACCCCTTAGAAGGAATGGGGGTGTGCCAAACACATCAGAAGGGATCTTCCCTAGTTTCTTGAATTGTAAAGGAGAGGGGGAAGGAAAGAACTTTTACACTTGCAAGTACACTTGCAAGATTACATAATATAGCCTTATAAAGGTACTTCTAGGTGTGCTTCATGTTTGGATTACCTCATAAGGCTGACAAAAATCTAGCAAGTCTGAAATTAACAGAATAACAGAGACCTTGGAGGACTTCTAGCCAACACCCTGCTCAAGCAGGAAACTCTATACTATTTCAGACAAATGGTTGTCCAATCTCTCTTAAAAATCTCCAGTGTTAGAGCACATTGTTTTTGCACAGCAAATTGCACATTGGAGCAAATTGCCATTACATTTCGACAAACTTGGAAAAGTCCCTTCTTCTATCTCCCAACATACCATTACAATTGCGTAACTACTGGATATAACAAGTTGAAAGCACACTTTCTTGTGAACAGATCATTTACTTACCTGCCATCTTTAGGTGGGAGAACAATAACTTTCAACTTAGATTTGTGAGATCATCTCTTACCTTGGCTCTTTCCCAGGGACCCTGTTCCAAACTCCTAGCATCCTTCTCATCTGTTTATTCTCACCCTGGATTCAGTCTAAAGCCTTAAGCATCAACACTGATAACAAGATCGGGACAAAAATACTGTCAATGTTGTATGTATTATCATGAAATAAAAGGAAGGGTTGAGTAGGGGGAGCCATACACTGCACAAAAAAATGTCCTTGTCCTCATTTTTTGGCAGGAGAGGTAGAGTGCTGAAATCAGAGATCTAATGGAGGCAAAACTGGATCTTTGCCTTGCTGTGTCAAGATGGATAATTAGTTATGAAACAAAGCTATTTAAAAACTCCTCTTTATGACAGTGCATGTACATAATTCATTAATGTATTGAAATACAATTTTAATCGAGGACAGCTAGATTGGTGTAGTAATTAAGGCATCAGGTTAGAAACCATGAGTTCTACTCCCACCTTAGGCACAAAGCCAGCTGGATGACCTTGGCCAGTCCCTTTCTCTCAGTCTGAAAAGCAGGCACTGGCAAACCACTTCTGAAAAACCTTGCCAATAAAACTGCAGGAATTTGTCCAGGTAGTGTCCGAAAATTGACCATAATTGAACAAAAGGAAAAAAACTTAATTGAAGTTTTGCAAAAAAAAAAGTAATAAACTAGAATATCAAAATGAAGATCTTTAAGAATCTACTATTTTTCAAAAAAGGTTAAATGCATGAGATCAAACAGTTATTTATTACTATATAAACAACCATTTATATTTATGTTGAACAATAAGAGGCAAGAATATAGTTCTGTTTGTCTCCTCTGAAGACAAGGAGGGGTGGTGGTGGTTAAATCACCATTACAACAGTCTTTATCTGCATTGTAGTACTTTGATGTAATAGAGTTATGAACCAGAGAAGATGAGAATCAATGGATGTTGTGGCTAATTTCCTCCATAGTCTCTCATGAAGAATTGAATTTAAGGCTGTTCTTAAATAACAGAAAGTATTTCTTTGGTAGGGCTAGATGGGTTTTCAGATAAATGGTGCAAATTTGCACATTAATCCATGGTGGAATATCCTGATCCAAAATCTATTTGAAGCTATTTTTTAAAATTTTAAGCTGACCAATGTTGCTGTGGTTAGCCTCAAAATAGGTAAACTGAACAAAGAAACAAATGACTGAACAAAGTGTTTCTTCAACTCTCTGCTATGGGTGACCACAAAATAAACATTTGGGAAATATGGGAACCATCCAATTAAGCTCTCCTCCTACATTTTTATTTTTAAGAGGGTGAAAGTTCGCATTTTTTCAGCAAATAAGAATCATAATTGTTGCAATTTTACACTCCTTCCCATTTCCTTCCTTTTAAAATATTTTTAAAATACAGTTTGTAGGAAAATCAAAATTAAGTATTTATTTACTGCTTCCATTTTTAATATACTCCATGCCCTAATAACAATTGCTGACTCTTGTACATTTTTTAAATTTTAGCATTTACTTTGCTACTGTTATGCTTCAACAAATCAGTTTTCAACCACTGAACCATTTTTGCTGGCCAGTTAACTTTGCAGTGCATCCAGAAGATTGAGCAGCTCTGGCCAGTTGATTGGCAGTGAATGAATGTGGGGATTATGGGTGGGGAATGTGGGTGATGGGTCAGCTGGTAAACCTCCATGCATCATCAATAATCTACAGCAGGGGTGTCAAAACTCGCGTTGTCACGGCAACGTTATGTGACATATTGGGACTTTTCCTCCCTTTGCTAAACCGGGCATGGGCGTGGCCAGCATGTGATGTATCTGGCTTGCGGGCCGCAAGTTTGACAGCCCTGATCTACAGAATGTAGTTTAGAAATCACTGGTCTAACATATATCTATTTTGCAATAATATGTCAGCAGTATGTTTGTTCCTTGCTGTAGAACCCAGGAATAAAGGCTGCTCCAATCCTATCTCTTTCTCTTGTGGAACTAACTGCAAAGTTAAAAGATGGCTCCTTGTCTCCAGAAAGTGTTCTATACAGCTACATGGAAAAGGTAAGGTTGACTTTGAATGTTAAATTCCATTGCTTATAGAAAACCTGCTTTTCTATCTTGCAAACATCAAAATCCTTTGGTCAATACAAATCACTGACACGTCACACCCATAAATATTGTTACTGATTTGGGCATAAGTTAAAATTTTTAAATCCCTTTTAACTCTGCATTCTGTAAGTCAGGGGTCCCCAACCACCGGGCCCTGGACCGGTACCGGTCCGTGGAACATTTTCTACCGGGCCGCCAGTTTGCTGGGTGCCGCCATCTTGTTTTGATGAGAAAGTGCTTCCGGGTGAGCTTTTCCGGTTGGAAAGCGGCGTTTGGGTCCTGAAGGAATCCTCACACCTTAGTTTCATCGAAGGGGGAGAGCAGCTTCGAACGAAACTAAGGCGCGAGGATTCTTTCAGCACCCAAGGCAAGGCGAGCTGAGCAACCGTCCCGAAGCCCATCGACAAAGGTACAAAGGAGGAGTTGAAGGTGGCGGGGAGAAGCAGGGGATGGCTGGCTGGCCGGTCGCTCGGCTCGCCTTGCCTTGTCATGCGTGCTGATGGCGGTACCGGGCTGTGGATCATTTTGTGATGCCGGTACTGGGCCCTGGCACAAAAAAGGTTGGGGGCCACTGCTGTAAGTGATAGTAAGTGACAGCTGTAAGTAGTGAGTGATAGCTAGAAGCAATCAGTCTAAAGATCTGACAAAGCACAGCTGATTGTTCTAATGGTGCTTTAACGGACCCTGAAGGCATAAATGATGGACAAAAGATTACCTCTTCTTTTGTCTCACCGGGGTGTGTGTGTGTGTGTGTGTGTGTGTGTGTGTGTGTGTGAGGAGTTTAAGCCAAGTCTTTATAAGTCAATCTATGCTGGGAGCTAATCTGCATATGAAACAGAGGAGTCACTTTGCCCTTTGTAGAAAAAGACATGGCATCATCAGTTCCTCATGAAAACTATTGAGAAACAGAAAACGTGGTACTCTTGACTTTTTTAAAAAAATATTTTATTGATATTCCAAAGTTTAAAAACATAAAATAAAGCTATATGCATTGTTATCAACATCAAGACACCTTTTACATTTCCTTACATTTTTCCATATATGATTACTTATTCCATTACCATTACATCTTACTCTTGACTTTTGTAAACCCATGCCTGACCCTCAAACTTTGTGCATATTTTGTAAAGCCTTCTATCACCAAAACAGCATAAATCTCCACAGATGACTTTCCATGGAAACAGAATCCTCAAACGCATTGGGACCCTGAAACTGAAGCAGTCAAGAGAACATGGATACTGTGGTACTCAAGGTAGCATGGGCATTAGGGTACTCAGGAAGATGACGTAGAAGCCAGTTTATTTGATTTACAAATACTGAGGGAAAGCTGGCTAAGCTTACAATAGTAAATTAATTTCTGCAATATTTTACATATGCATTTGTTTGTCCACACTTATACCCAGACATTAAAAATGAAGCTCAGCCCAATTCAGCTTCAAATCCCTCTCCAGTTGTGCAACCTGCACCCAATTAAGCAAATTTCACTCAGCAATTCAAGAGTTAAGAGGAACTTTCATCCTTTTCCTAGCCCCCCCCTCCTGAATCTAGGCCTTGGGCCTTTGATTTATGTGATCCATGGAGTTATTTTCAGCTGTGGAAGATTTATTACCACTCCCAACAGCTAAGTTACAAGGGAATTCCATTTTTGGAACAGTGTGACTTTGAGACTTCTAGAGAGATGATCAAGGACTGAATGAATGCAGTTGTCTGCTTGGCAGGTGGAAGGTACAGGCATAAGTGCATCAAAAAGACACTTGAATGCTGGGAATTTATTTATTGTGTTTATATTACCTAGAATATTGATTATTCTGGACAGTGCACAAAGACATTATAAACATAGGATATACTGTAAAATGATATATCTGTGATAAAAATAGTATATAAGAAGTTGAGATAAAAACAGAAGGAAAAAAAATAAAAATGTGTAGCATCTAAAACTAAATTTTGCAGGGGAGCCAGGTTAGATTATATTAGACAAAAATGGCTGCCTGGGGAATTCTGGGAGTTGAAGTCCACATATCTTAAAAGCTGCTGAAATTGAGAAACATTGCTTTAGCTATTGTTATATTCTGGTTACTGTATCTTTTTTTTCTTTTCAACAGTGTTGGATTTTTCCTCTGCCTTATTTTTTTTCTGCTTTGTCTAAGCCTTTGCTTGCCCTCCAAAGATCAGTCACGTGGTGGATCTTGCATCCTGTTCTTGGCCTGCTGAACCTCTTTCCTTCTTCCTTTCTAGGAAGGAAAGCACCAACAAAAAACTGGTTGGGATGGGAAGTTCCAAAACTTATTAAGGCAGGACTTCTGGGAAGCCTTTTTAGCAGGGGCTGTTGCATTAAACCTAAAATAAAATATATGCAGCTGTTTTCATGCCACTGTTTTCTACAGTTTACAGCCCAAATAACGTAGCTCAGTTTTTGATGTCTGTCAAAAAAAGACCATATTATGAAACTGAGTTATATGTATTGTACAGCTTGCCAACTGTAGGTTGTCCATTCCTTATTTAATTTGCATGCCTTATACCAAAGTATAGCCAGGGGGAAAAAAGGGCACATTTTCCATAGAATTTCTTTTCTGAACAACTAAAAATTCACAATGGTCCTTGGATCACCTCCTTCTTCTGCTTTTCTTCTTTTTGCACCAAGGCTTTAGCAGTAACCCGGGAGATCAACTGCGTGACCGACTTTCTCCCAGAGTGTGAAGAGCAGCTCCGAGAAATTAAAAACACAGAGAAAGGATTACTGTATGGGGTCCCTGTCAGCATCAAGGAAAACGTTGCTTGCAAGGTATTTTGGGAAATTATTCATCAACTACTGGGGAGGCGAGGGTGATGCTTCATGAGGTTAAGTTCTATGCCTTCAGATGAGATTGGCAAAGTTGGGCGGGGGGAAATCAGCAAATTAAGCCCACCCCTCAACATCTCAGCATACCTAGCTACGTTCTCCATCTTGATGCATTCAGCACAAAAATTGGCAGAAGTTCTATAAGCACCTTAGGCTACATGTGCTTGCTGAAGTCCAATGCATCAGGAAAGATTGTCTGATCCAGTGTTCCTCAGCTTTGGCAACTTGAAGATGTGTAGACTTCAACTCCCAAGATACCTCAGCCAGCAAGGCTGACTGTGAACCTCTGGGAGTTGAAGTCCACATACCAGTAGCTTCAAGTTGTCAAGATTGAGAAATGCTGGCCTGATCAATACTCCTGATCCAGGAGCCTTGTAAAGCATACATTTGGACCAATACACTTTAAAAAGGCAACTGTAGATTTTCATGCTGAAAATCAGAATATTTATTGGACTGCCAGAGATTGAACAGGGCGAGCCTGACATAGTTCTGCTCATGTCAAGTTAAATACTTGAATAGAACGGTGCTTGTCATGGTCCTTGTGGAGGATAATATCATGGTGAGCGTGTCAATTTTGTTTGCAGTCATCCACCAGGTTTTGATTTCCATCCCTCAGATTTCAGATCATTTCCGTAGTAACTTCCTTTGTTACAATAACGTATCAAGGCTCTCAGCCATTTCTGTTATTTTCTTTTAATGGGGAGACATTACCGTTGAGGGAGCATCTCCTTGGTGGGTTATTCTGGCTTTATTTCCCTTCTCACCTGCTAGTAGGAAAATAACACACATTTGGCAGAACCTGCTATCTTTCCTAGTTAAATTGATTTTCTGTGTAGCATAGGATTAGCACTCTTTCAAAAAGGGCACTAAATCCAGGTCTAAAATATGGTCTTTAAATGCTTTTTCATGAAAAGCCTCATGGAAACTCCATATTCCTGACCAGGTTATCTCTTTAATGGTCAAGCAAAGAATGCCATATAATATCCATAGCAAGAAATTGTGTTGAAAGGAGGCAGAAAAAACTGGAATGTCTTTAAGCTGCTTTGGATCTGAACAGAAGACAGTAGAGGTAGTCTTCGACTTACAACAATTCATTTAATGACCATTTGAAGCAGTGGGGGGATTCTACCAGTTTCCCTACCGGTTCGGTGATTGGCACTATCCAAACACCAGCTGAGGCTCTGCTGTGCCAATCAGCGGAGAGGATAAAGAACAGGAAAGCGCAGGGGTGGGTGGGAGGGCCAATCCTGTGCTTTTCTCTTCTTTCTTGTCTCAGCTGATTGTTGGAACTTTTTTTTTACTACCTGTTCTGCCGAACTGGGGCGAACCGGTAGCATTTCACAATTGATTTGAAGTTACAATGGCACTGAAAAAAAGTGACTTATGATGGTTTTTCATACTTACGACCATTGCAGCATCCCCATGGTCACATGATCAGATGCTTGGCCACTGACTCATAGTTATTGGCTTTTGCAGTGTCCCAGGTCATGTGATCACCTTTTGTGAACTCCTGATCAGCAAAGTCAATGGGGAAGCCAGATTTACCCAATAACCATATTATTTAATTTAGCATCTACAGTGATTCGCTTAACAGCTGGGTCAAGAAAAGTAAAATCGGGCAAAATTTAGCAACATAAATTTTGCACTCAATTGTGCTTTTAAGTTGAACACTACCTGTATCGTGAGAATATGACAGGGGAACAAAAACAGTTATTAGGACACGTATATGGAAAGGAAGAATCCCAGAGGTACCATGTCTGAGGTCCAAAAATCCAGAAGATAGCTAGATCACATCAGCGAGAAACATGAAACTCTACTGTTTCCATCGAGAGGATATCCAGCCCAGATATGGTAGACTTTTATCAAACTGACATTTCATAGCATTCCCTATTGATTTGGAATATATGCTATTTGTTACGTTTTCTTGCTCTGCTTTTTCATTCTAAACCTCAACATTTGCTTTATTTCTCTTTTTAAAGGGATACCCCAATTCACTTGGCTTGGTGAAATTTCTGGACTCTCCTGAGCGCGATGACTCTGTAATTGTCAAAGTTCTTAAGAAACAAGGGGCAATTCCATTTGTAAAGACCAACACATCACAAGCCATATTAAAGTAGGCATTTGGTCATTTTGGGGGGGTGAGGGGAGGAGGTGTAGTTCTTAAGTTCTTAAAAGCAAGAACTGACTCTAATCTGTTAAAATAGGCTCATCATTTTGATGGTTCTTCTATCTCTTTAATGATATCCTATAGTCAAATGTAAAAATTAGCCTTTTTTGAACTGCATAACCGTTTTTCCAGAAAAAAAAAGATTGCTAGATTTTAGCTATATTTCGTTGGTTATCATTAAAACAGTTTTTGTCTTCCTGAAGAAGGAGAAACTATGTTCTAATACATTTGTGTACAATCTGGTGCCCTCCATCATGTATTAAATAGCAGTTCTCAGAAACTTCAGCCAGCATAAAAATATATGAAGAGGAGGCTGCTTTTCATGAGTGATATGACAGCAAAATCAGCATCCCAAATCCCATATAGACCAGACTGCCTCTTTAAATTAGCATTTGTATCATCAAGCCCAATCTGTATAGTGTTTTCCACTATAGTGGCAAAATTTTTGTTCATCAATGAAATTGGTCACTTAATTATCAGAAAGTCCTAGATTTCACTCCAGACATGCATGGCTCAGCTGTTTGAAAAGCCTTCCTCAATTTGATGTTGAGTATGATAAATTCTCACCTAGCGTAGGCAATGGAAATTTGCATTTGAATATTTTAATTTATGTTTTATGAATAGGTCTTTTAAAACAAAAGCCTGATTCCTGGGCACTTTATACTGTAAAAAGCTAGAACAAGGGAAACAAAGAATAAAAAGAGATGCATTCAAAGAAATAAAAAAATCATGTCAGGCAAAACCAACTCTTATAGATGTTTAGTTCCATTCTACTTAACCCTAACCCTAACCCTGGTAAAATGATTATGTCTTCAGTGCTTTCCAGAAGAGTGGGAGCCACATGGATTTCTTGTCTTAGCTCCACCATAAGCAAAATCGATTCCTTCTGCATGCCTTCGATTTGCTTATGGGTCCTTTCCCCTCCTACGCAGCATTGACTGTGGCAATACAGTCTTTGGACAAACCTTGAACCCTTTCAACCACAAGAAAAGTTCTGGAGGCTCCAGTGGAGGGGAAGCTGCTCTTATTGGAGGGGGAGGATCCGTGCTTGGCATTGGGACAGATGTGGCTGCAAGTATTCGGGTGCCATGTGGCTTTTGTGGGATCTGTGGATTCAAACCAACTGGCTATAGGGTGAGGTAAGTTTTATTTTTATTTATTGGATTTTTATTTTTATAAATAACTCAAGGAAAGGTACATAGAAAATTCCTCGTCCTATTTTCCCCACAACAGCCACCCTGTGAGATGGGTCAGGCTGAGAGAGAGTGCCAGCTTTCATGGCTAACATGTGTCTAGAACTCACAGGCTCCTGGTTTCTAACCTAGTGCCTTAACCACTAGACCAAACTGGCTCTCTTCACAACTTTCACAAGTAGTTGACAATACTGTATATCATGTATTGTCAACCAAGTGAAGGGTGAATGGTATGCCAAAAAAAAAGTACATGTTCAAAACAAGTTATCTGTTGTGACTGTCATTCCAGCAATCAATAGGAAATTAGCTGTCTAGATTATTAATATAACCCTCACTAGATAGAAAGGCATTTGTTAGGAATTAAGAGTTGCTAAAATAAAGGATGAGGCCATGTTTCTTCAGGTAAACTGGTCATGAATCTAGTGAAAAGTAGAATATAGCCTTCTGTCCCTGTCTATTCCTTTTATTTATTCCTTCATTTTCTCATTTATTCTTTTATTTCCCATCATCTCACCCACACAAGCATTCAGCCTGCTCATTCATATTCCAGCCATGGCCTTTCTGCCTCATCCACAGAAAACAGCAATATAATGAATCTCTTTTCATGTTCTAAACACTTGAAAAACTTCAGGGGGGAAATGTTGCATCGATCAGGATATAGATGAATATTACAAAACCCCACAAATATGTATTCCAAACCAGATAATGTTAGTGATTTGTTTACTCTGGAGCAGGAAATCAACCCTAGAACTGATTCAGCCTCAAGAGACAGTCACCACTGCTAAGTTGAACAGCCAGGGTAGGAAGTTTAGAGAAATCAGAATTGAGATTAAGGTACTCAGTTTTATACCTCCCCAACTTTCCCAAAATAGGTATGCCAAAGAACCAGATTTACATTTATGTGTGAAAAAGCAAAAGTAATCATAGAACATATGTAGAAGAGAATGTGTACAAGGGTATATTTCACCATTCACTGTTGCTTAGTTAGTTTTGGTATTTAATTCTGTTTCCTCACTCTCAACATTTGCTTCATTCAAAATCTTGTCAAGAATCCCCCCTCTCTTTTCCAGTTGGGGTATGTATAACGGTGTGGACAGCAGTTTTTAGAATCTCCAGGAATGGTCATATTGGCTGGAATTCTGAAAGTCCACCTATTTGGAATGGCCCAGATTGGGGATAGTGTGAGGTTTTCCATTTTTTTAAAAATGCAATGCACAGTATTTTCTTACTGGAAAGATGGAGTCCATTTCTTTGGCTGCTTGGCATAGTAGGCATTTAACCCACAGGAAAAGAAGATACTGTCTCCTACTTATGGATGTCACCACCTCTTTTACTTCTTCACTCTCCATTTCTCAGTTCTTGAGTCATGGATCATCAAGTGGGCATTTTAGATCTCTTTTTTTGCCAGGTTTTTATTGATGGTGGGATAGAAAAATGGCCCAGGATACGTTAGCTCTATTAGGGATACTGAGGGCTCCCAGGAAGTCTTCTTAAGGAAAGGATTGGAATCAATGACCCTTATATTATCTTGCACAGTATTAATCCATTTAAATGCATTTTTTCCTACAAGAAATTCTGAAACCAAAAACTGGATATAAACTCTTCTGAGCCCTGACTCAATATAAAGTTTAAATCTTATATCACAAATGGTCCTCATCCTTTCTGTCTGGAAGCAAAGTGATTGGAAGGTAATTTTATCCCCCTAATGAAGTACTACTTTACCTAAGTAGATCTTTGTGCGTGGAGATATAGCAATTTCCTGGGGATTTGGAAAAAGACTTGGGTGATGGTGGTTAGGTCAGGATTGAGAAGAATTGTAATAATACCCCACTCCTGGATTAAAAGAAAAAGGACTGGGCCTCTGCAAATATTACAAGTTGGGAAGGTCTAAAGTCCATTCTGTCTTAAAAGCTCAAATCTGTTTGGATAGGGATATTAGTTTTAGTCCAAATTCCTAAAAAGGAATCAATAGTATCTTTTAACCATATCACCTGCATTTTATGACAGGGTCTCTTTTTCATTTGGCTTTGTCTCTAGTTAATTTGCTTTTTTCATTTGCTGTTGTGCAGTGTCAAAGGTGTTACTACTCCTGTAGCTGGAATGAACTCAGGTGAGCAAATCTATAGTTAATAAAGTATTTGTTATTCAGCTCATGGAGAAAAAGGCAAAGTTCCTTGATGAATATATATTTAGGTCTTCTGCTAACCAATCAACCATCCAAAATTGCACTCAAGCTTTCTCCTTCCCTCCATCACACTGCAATGTCTTTTTTTGGTTTGTTTGTTTCCCCACTGATTTAGGATTTATTGTTGTACAATAAGATCTCAGGTTCATTTACATTTATAGATATATTTCAGAAGGATGTAGTAATTTACAATTTTAAAGTGTAGTTGGATGGGATGACAAGACAAGGAAACTAAATGAATAAAAATAGTGGTTTTTCCTTTTCAAAAACTATTTGGATAAATCAAACTACTTGAGTAAATTATTAAATAAGTTCAAAATCCTCTCATTATTAGAAAGCCAATTCTCAGGGGATCTATTTGGCTTTACTCTACTTCAAAGCCATGTTCTGTCTTCCTTTACCAAGACCAGAGACCTTTCTCTCTTTGTTCCAGTCATCTCTGTGACAGGACCAATGGCAAAAGATGTGGATAGCCTGGTTTTGTGCATGAAAGCCCTACTGTGTGATGAGATGTTTTGTCTGGATCCAGCTGTGCCCCCACTTCCCTTTAATGACAAGGTAATCAAACTGGATATAGGGATGAATCAGGCTCTGTGTATGAGTGTGTGAGTGAGGGGTGGGGTCTGATTATAGTTCTTAGTATGTTTGGGCCAGAATTTTTCAAGGATCTCCTTTTCCATATGTAACTGCATAGGCACTTTAATTATTTTTGGAAGTCCTCCTCTAAGTGTTCCCACCAGGATAATTTAAGCTATTTGGTTGTGAAGATCTACTTACAGAATACGCTCCCCATGGAGGCTTACTGGTATTCATATTAACAACTTCTTCTCCTGTGCATTTGAAATTAGCTTTGATATTACTTACTTGTAGAAGTAGCAGGGATGTTAAGGATTCCCCCTCACATCCCCCTAATCATAACACAAATAATTCCTTGTAGCTGTTATATGATATGATCTCTTTATGCCTTTGTCTTTCTCCTAGTCCACAGCTAAGATTAGGGTTGTCTGTAGTTTTCCAAATTTAAAATAGTCTTCTCCCCACAACTTTTGCAAAGAATGCAATCACATAGTGCCATGGTGGCGCAGTGGTCAGAATGCAGTACTGCAGGCTACTGCTGCTGGCTGCCGGCTGCCTGCAGTTTGCCAGTCTCAAGGTTGACTCAGCCTTCCATCCTTCCAAGGTCGGTAAAATGAGGACCCAGATTGTTGGGGGCAATATGTGAACTCTGTAAACTGCTAAGAGAGGGATGGAAAACATTGTGAAGTGGTATACCGGTATAAGTCTAAGTGCTATTGCTATCAGTGCTTGTGGTTGCTTCATCAATGCTGTGAACAGAGGATGGGATCTGGCTAAGTCCTATTGGCCACTTCAGGCTGCTGCAGGGACAGCTACTCCCATCCCTTTCATGGAGACAACAAATTATTGACTTCTACATACAGGTACAGGTGCAGGCCTCTGTCTATGCACAGGTAGTCCTCACCAACCATTTGAAGTTATGACCAGTTATTGAAATTGTGGCTGTCACAGTATCCCTACAGTCATATGATCAAGATTCAGGCACTTGGCAACTAGCTCATAATAACAATGGTTATAGCACCCCATGGTCACACGATCACAATTTGCAACCTTTCCTGCTGGCTTCCCACAAGCAAAGTCAATAGGGAAGCCAGCAGGAGGCTTCAAATCACTTCTGCTTCTGATGCTTTTTCTCCTGAGGAGCTCCTGGGCAGCATTGGATCTTGCACTCCATAGTGTCTATCTGCTCATACACCATAGCACCAACCTGCCTATTGATAGCCTCACCTGCTTTCCTGGGATGCAGTTTCCACTTGCATAAGCAAGTGCATCTGGATTCTCACCTACTCCCATGTCAAATTTGCGTAAGGTTCTCACTTAATGATCTACAAGGTCTTCACTGGAATTGCTATCACTAAGCTACATATGTCATGCTTTATGACCACATTGCTTAGCAACGGACATTCCTGTCCCAATTGCCATTGTAATCCAAGGACTACCTATAAAGTCTGATTGGCCCTTTCTGAATGCTTATTAGATCTTAGACAGGCTCCTTATATACCTGGATTTGAAACACTGTTAGGCCTTAAAAAACATATATAGCTCTCTTCTTGTCCTAGTGATTGGACTAAATGAAGATTTGTGTCTTTTCAGATTTACTTGAATACCTGCCCCCTTAGGATTGGATTCTACGATGGAGACGGTTATTTCGAGCCATCTCCCAGCATGAGAAGAGCTGTACAGGAAACCAAAAAGCTGCTACAGGAGGCAGGGCATACTGTAAGCTTTACACTAGGACTAAAGATCTTTTTGGGTGAAGAGAGTGGCAGCAATAGCCTTGGCATTTGAATGGCATGCTGCCAGTGGCATTCCAAAAGCAGCTAATGGAAGGAAATTGCTCATTTGTTTTGGCTTGGTTTGTATTTAGAGTCATCTAGAAGCAAACTTGACCAGTGTGATAATTTCCATACTGTATATTCAATCATTTTTCTCTTCAGTCATATTAAAAATCACAATTGCACCTTTTGGAGCCTCACTATATTGGGCTGCAAAAGTCCAGATGACTGTTAAACGCCAGCGGAGAGATAAAGTGAACTCTTGCTTTTTTGCTTCCCGCTTAATCATCCACATTTTTGCAGGTCAATCTGATAGTTTGAGGACGTGACCCTTTTAGGCTGTGCATCTGTGCTGTATTCCAATATGTAATTGGCTTCATTCATTCTATGGTTGAACGCATGGCTTCTAGCAGATTTTGGGGGAAGAAGTCATTGTAAGCCCTAAACAGTTTCATGTTTGCTCAACTTTTAAAAGCAGAGTAACTCTTTGTATAAGTTTATTGTGTGCTGTTAAATATGGATTTTTTTTCCTTTCCTCTCTCAGCTGATACCATTCACTCCACCTCGCATTGATTTTTTGGTGGATGAACTGTTTACCAAAGGCCTCTATGCTGATGGAAGTTCCACATTATTGGAAAAATTGTGAGTGATTAAATACTAAAATTTCATAGAAATCCGTATTTTTATTTTTGTTTCCTTTCTAGAAATCAAGTGCCAGTAAAGAGCAGAGTAAATAAAGCTTACAGAGGTCCAATACCATGAATATTTGGTAACCTGATTGCTGGAAAGGAAGTGCCTGAATCTTTTGTTTCTCTCCTTTTTCTATTTGACTTTTCATAGAATCATGTGACAGGTGGCAGCAAAGGTTACTCAACATGACTTCTCTTAAATTAGGACATTGGGTTGGAAGTTAGCAAGCCCTCATTCGAGACCCAAGTGCTGCTGTGGGGTGGGGTGAGCTCTCATCCTTTGCTTCAGCTCCTGCCAGGGACATGAAAAGAGCCCCCAACTGGGCATCCCCCAGACAACAATGATGTCACCAGTTAATCTTTTCAACCTGGAGGCATCTTGGTGCTTCTGACATGAGTGCAACACTCTACCTGTGAGGGAACCCGAACTAATAGATGAATAGCTCTTTTCCTCCCAACTTCCCATCTTCCAATTTGTGTCCTTATACCAAAAGACGGGCCTGTTACCTCCTTATACTCTCTATAATAATCTGGTTTTTGGGTTTTCGGTTCAATGTGTGGAGTGTGAAGGATGTGTGTTTGTGTTTATTTTCATGGTCATAATGTACACTGAAGATGGTGTTGTCAACTGATAAAACATTTTGTATACACATTTTATAGTTGACAATAGAAAGAAGAAGGGGAGTTTCAAAGAGCAGGCAACAGTGTGGAATAGAAAGTACATTCCATTCATATTTTCTTCAAAGACTGATTAGATGGCTGAAGCTTCTGCCGTGAAAAAAATCTAATTGGAGAGCATGATTGATGACTCTTGGCTATGGAGGTTTTTCGTTGGATGATACACCCAGAGGAAGGAAAAGCAGGATCAAGGGTGACAGTGAATTACATATCTCAGAGTTGGCTTCGCCCAAGTTAATGCCGGACGTAGAATGTTAACTTCAAATAAATCCTCTTTAGTTTTGGGAGTGTGGCTTGAGGCTCATAATTTAATTGGAGTAACTGCCGGAATCCTGACAGGTGTTTGATTTAGTTGTACGAGGTGCAATGACAATAAAGTAAACTAAACTAAACTAAACTTTCTTTCCCTTTGTACTATTTCAGTGATGGTGAATTTGTGGATTCCACTTGGACAAACCAGATTCGTTGTTACAGAATGCCAGACCTGCTGAAGAGACTCCTGGCTCTCCTTTTAATGCCTTTGGTGAGTTCTCACTTTTTTTCTGTCTGCGCAAATACACAATACTAATTTTCAGAATGAGTCTCATTTTATCCATAACCAAAAAAATGATGGAGGTGGAGTGTACAATAGCCTAGTAAGAATGTATAGGATTCTTTCTGGTCCTTCCCTATGAGGGGCAAACCAAGTTAGCTTGTCACTGGGATTTTTCTGTGTCTTTTTCTGTCTCCTGGGTTACATTTCAGGGTTTTTTCCCCCATCACTTTGGGTCACCATCATCCCATTTAGATTCAAGGTAAACACTATAGCAATGCCAGCCAGGTTCTACTGAAGTAGATCGGTTAAAAAATGGATCCCACACCTCATTACCCAAGTTCGTAGGCTAATCCCTCAAAATGCAATTCAAAAATCCCTGGTGCTGCTATTGATAGATCAATTGCTGTGATGTTTAGCCTGTAAGATCAAGGGGAAGTCAAAGGCTATCAGATAGATGTAGACCGGAATTAATAGCCTGAAGTGAATTGAAACACTGAAATAGCTTTTTCCAAATTGATGTCCTTCAGATACATTTGACTTCAACTCCCAGAGACCTCTAGCAAGCCTGAGGAAAATACAGCGTAGGCTCTCTTAATTAGGCTAAATGTGATAAGCCTATAAAGCAGCCAATGGATTATACATTGATATCTTCTCTGCTAGAATAAGGTGATTCCTGAACTTCAATAAAAAAAAAGATTGACAAATGCAGAAGGAGTAAAGTATCTGACAAGCCAAAGGACTAGAAGTGAAACTTACTGTATATACCAGCCGTTCTCATCTTCCACTTGAGTTGGGATTAGAATTTAAGTTGACTGGGAATTCTGGGAATTGTAATACCAATACAGCTGGAAGAAGTAACCCCTGAAGAATGGTTCTAATTTGAGGGTTATTTCCTTTGAACATCATGGTGCTTAATTCATGAGTAAAATACATTGATTCTCTTGTAGGAAAGTTCAGGAAGATGAGAGTGTTAAATGGGACTCTTTATGATCTGATGCAAAAAAAGAAAAAAAGGCACTGTTTTAATATTCTGGTCAGTGTTTCAAAACTACCTAAGGTTTAGATGTTTTTCATTGCCAGGAATAATTCTGCAAGGCTGCTCAAGTTCTTGGAAATAGAGCCCTTGATATGCAACTGAAAATGTGATTGCTTCTTTCACTGTAATGCTTTTACGAGCATTTTCCTCCTCATTTCCATCCATTTGCTATTGTTGTATTTAAATTGGGGAAATGAGGCTGGATCTTTAGAGAAAATCATGTTTCTTTTCTTTTTGAAGTCAAAGCTGAATTGCAATCCAATGTATATTGGATTGCCTCCTTCGTAGGCTATCTCAAAATGACTTCCATTTTGAGCTCGGTTGCTTCAGTCAATCTTGTTAACAGAAATCAAGCTCTAGCTCTCTTCTTTATAAAGTGGAATAACCAAGGTGAACATCGTAATCTAAGAATAATGACCCTGATACAGCCATGTTCAGGTTTTCACATGTCGCTTTTTGATGATTCAATTCCCTATGAAATGATGGGGTCGAAAGCAGAATGGAGCTCAGAGAAAATAGGACGCCTACAAATCTTAATTGTTTCCTGCCAAAACTTTTCTGCGGTTCTAAATCATCCTGAATTCGCCCTCCTCTATTCAATTCCTCAGTTATAGAACCTATTAGTTCCAGCCTGACACTCCACTATGAGAAAAATCTTCGCCTAACAGTGAAAAATGACAGGCCAGCTGGCACCTACAATTAACACTTTTTAAAACCCCACTGGTTTTACTGGGGGAATGAACGGGTAGTTCTTGACTTAGAACCATTCATTTAGCGACCATTCCAAGTTGCAACAGCCCTGAAAAAAGTGACTTAAGACTGGTCCCCATCTCTATGACTGTTGCAGCATCCCTACTGTGACGTTATCATAATTTAGACGTTTGACAACTGGCATGTATTTTATGACATTTACAGTATCCCAGAGTCATATGATCACCATTTGCAACTTTCCCAGCCAGCTTCCGAACAAACTCAGTGGGGAAAACAAGGTTTGCTTAATGATTTCAGTGGTTCCTTTAACTGCAGTGATTGGCTTTACAACTGTGGCAAAAATGGGTCATAAAATCAGCCATGACACCCCAGCCAGAAATTCTGGTTCCCAACTATGACCATCGATTGTTAAGGACTAGTACCTGTACCTCTTCTTCCTGAAAGGAGATATCGTTTTTTTGGCACAGCTGTTTCAAGTGACTGACTAATGTCACAAGATATGGGCAAATCAGATGAAAGGGATGAGTAATTTGTACAATAGGGTGGAAGCAGAGGTGATAGTCAGCAGGTTCTCACCAATTCTGGAGAACCGGTAGTGGAAATTTTGAGTAGTTTGGAGAACCGGCAAATACCACCTCTGACTGGAGATTTTACAGTATCCTTCCCCTGCCAAGCCACGCCCACAGAACTGGTAGTAAAAAAAAAAAAATGAATCCCACCACTGGGTGGAACATTTTACTAACTAATGGCAGATTTCTACTGGAGCTAAGGAACAGATGGCAGAAACTTCTTTCTTATCTTGCATTCTAATTTCCTGGGTTGTTTCCTCTGGCTTAAGTGATGGGATGTCTTGCCAGTGTCCCTCCATCATCATTGACTGCTCCAAAGCTGTCCCTCTGTTTTCCTTCACATGAAAGATGAACATGGCAGTAAATCAGAGCAGAAGCAAGCCAATCTGCTTGTAAACTTAATTTGCTTCCACCTTCTAGACATTTAGAAGGAGTGTTAATTGGTTCCATGGAATAACAGAGTACATTTATGGATGGAAGATTTAAGGCAGTATTTCTCAACCTTGGCAACTTGAAGATGTGTGGATTTCAACCCCCAGAATTCTCCAGCCAGATCATTGGCTAGAGAATTCTGGGAGTTGAAGTTCACCCATCTTCAAATTGTCAAGGCTGATCTAAGACCAATGGCTCCTGGTCTTTTGGGGAAAGATTACTGTGTCAGGATTCTGGTACTTACTCCAGTTAAATCATGAGCCTCGAGCCACACTCCCAAAACTAAAAAAGATTTATTTGAAGTTAACATTCTACGTCTGCATTTACCAGGGTGCAGCCAACTCTGAGATACGTAATTCACTGTCACCCTTGATCCTGCTTCCCCCCCACATATCATCCAATGAACAATGCCCATAGCTAACAGTCATCAATCATGCTCTCCAATTAGATTTTTGCGCAGCAGAAGCTTCAGCCTTTGAAGAAAATATGAATGGAATGTACTTTTGATTCCACACTGCTGTCTGCTCTTTGAAATCCCCCCCCTTCTTTCTGTTGTCAACTATAAAACGTGTATACAAAATGTTTTATGAGTTGACAGACTGACTAAGATAGTTCCAAGCCAGCAACCAGAGAATAGATCAGGAAGAAACAGACTAAGGAGAAGGAGCCATAGAATTGCTAAACAGTTAGTAAACCTCAAAGGCCAGTAGGTTTGTTTAATACTGTAGAATAACCTCTTGCTATATGTGGTTTTCCAATGCAGTGTTTTTATTTTAGTTCCCACGAATCTCCAGACATCTGCGTGCCCTCCTTGGAGTTGGGTAAGAGTGCTTTATGGTGTTTTGTTCCTTTAATGGGTGTTGTTCCCACAATATCAGCCTTTGGATTTACTGTGTGCCATCAATCAGTGTCACCTCTTAAAACCACATACTTAGGTTTCTCCATGATGCACTTCACTATGCAGTAGTGTACTGCTATGCAAGTAGGAAAGACCTTTTATAACAGTATTTGTAGTAGAAGTTATTCAGGAAAAGTATTAGTAATATAAGAAGAGAATTTTTTATTTTTAAAGCTGGTTGTTGTTCCTGCACATGTGCATATTTTATATTTTTTCATTACTATATTTCATGTTCTGTCTCACCTTTCTTCTTTCTCAAAAGATGAAAGAGTACAAACTCACACAAACACAGGCAGGCAAGCTGGCTTGGACTTCACAGAGTTAATTCTTTGGAACTGATAACATCCTTGGCATTCCAACATGCTCTGCCTGCCAAGTCCAAACTGATAACAAGTAAAAAGCTACTTACGCCTCCTATACACCCTTATATGTAAAAAATACAAGTATATGAAATTGTTGTGGCTCCGATTCCCGAGCCTGTGCTGTTAGAGGAAGAGGACTCGGAAGATGAGGAGGAGGAACTGGAGATGCCTTCCTCCCAGGGACCTTCCTCTCTGGCAATGCCTTCCTCCCTGATAATGCCTCAGGTTTCATCAGACAACCGAGAGGAACAGCCTGAGATTAATCAGGAGGAAGGCATATCGGAGCAGCCCTTGACAGGGAGTCAAGAGGAAGAATGTTGGCTTGATCCTAAGCAGCATCGTAGGAAGAAACGTGAGCAGCAATGTAGGAGGCGTGGGAGGGTCAGAGAGTGAGCTGAGTCATTGAGCCACACCCCACAGGGGATAAAAGTGGGTGTGTTATCAGCTGGAACTTTGTACGGGACAAAGTTTGATCTTACTTCAGGTTTTTCTTTGTGAATGATTTTTGTGGTCTGCCTTGTAATTTTCTGTAAGTAGCTTTTTACTTGTTATCAGTTCGGACTTGGCAGGCAGACCGTGTTGGAATGCCAAGGATGTTATCAGTTCCAAAGAATTAACTCTGTGAAGTCCGAGCCAGCTTGCCTGCCTGTGTTTGTGCGAGTTTGTACTCTTTCATCTTTTGAGAAAGAAGAAAGGTGAGACAGAACATATGGGTATGTGTGAAAATGTATGTCCACTAAGACCCTCCCAGAGGAAATTTCATTCCTGAAATGAAAACTTGAGAAACAATGGAAGTGGGAGAATTGCCCAGTGACCACAAGTGGTAACTTTAGATCTAGACCAGTGGTGGGATTCAGTCAGTTCACACCACTTTGGGAGAACTGGTTGTTAACTTTCTGAGCAGTTTGGTGAACTGGTTGTTGGAAGAAATCATTAGGGCAGAGAACCAGTTATTAAATTATTTGAATCCCACCACTGATCTAGACTCAATATTTTCCAAATTGTTGCCAAGGCATCAAGTTTAGTTGAGATTTGCTTTAACTGGTTTACAGCTGGGACATTCATAGGGCAGGAAGAGCAAAATGGGACAGGGTACCTTTGCTCTAAGTTATCTTTCGGTTATTAATATGAATATTTAAACTTTGAAAAATAGTCATGCTACATTCTATCCAGCAGAGATCAGCATTACATTGGCCACTGTCCTGCATTTCACAAAAGTTGGACTTAGGAAAATATTTTAATTTTAATTTAAATTATTTGGAACAATCAGGATGCTTGGATTTACAAATTTTGATCATGTGACCACAAGGAAACTGCAAAGGTTGTAAGTGTGGGAACCAATTGTAAATTACTTTTTTCAATAGTGTTGTAACTTTAAATTGTAGTTAAATCATCACAAGTCGAGAACTGCCTACAGATAGGTCTAAACAGCTATGAGAAGATGGAGCATGATACTCCATTGCTGGAAATTAACATGTTGTGGAAAGAGAGACATTCCAAGGTTCTTAGGGAACTGGGTTCAGGTATTTGTTTCAGTGGCTTGAAGGAGTTTCAATTTCATTTGTACATTTATGGTGGAAAAGTAAACATGGATCGTGCCTTCAAGAACACTATCATCAAAGGTGGTATTCAGCAGGTTCTGACCAGTTCTGGAGAACCGGTAGCGGAAATTTTGAGTAGTTCAGAGAACTAGCAAATACTACCTCTGACTGGAGATTTTACAGTATCCTTCCCCTGCCATGCCCATCAAGCCACACCCACAGAACTGGTAGTAAAAAAAAATTGAATCCCACCACTTACTATCATGAATATCTACTATTATTACTTGAGGTTTTATAACAATGTCCTGCCACTGACGCCTTTCAAATAGGTTGGAATTGCAACTTTCAGGCAATCAATCTTTCCTAGCAATCCTAAAGCCAGTTAAAATTGTCTTGTGCTGCCCTAATTTTCTTCAGATTTAATTTAGACATCAAGACACTGTTAAAATTGACATGTTTATATTCTGTGCATCACAGAGAACTGTCAGTCAGTTGCTGCTGTTTTTTTAGCCAACAATGGAGTATCATGCTTCATCTTCTCATAGCTGTTCATACCTATCTGTAGGCAGTCCTTGGCTTATGACAATTTAACTACTGTTCAAAGTTACAACACTACCGAAAAAGGTAATTTATAACTGGTCCTTGCACTTACAACTGTTGCAGTGTCTTTGTGATCACATGATCAAAACTTGGGCTCTTGTTAACTGGCAGGCCTTTTACAATGATTCCAAGCACTCCTTGGTCAATTATGACCATCCCAGGGGACTTCCAACAAGCAAAGTCAATGAAGGAAGCTGAATTTGCTTAACAACTGCATGATTTGTTTAATGGCCATGCAAAAAAAAAAAAAGGCCATAAAATTGAGAGTGACTCACTTAACAATCCCATGGAATCTCCAGTCCCACTTGTGATTGTAAGCTGAGCCCAACTTCTACTTTTTCTGTGCAATAAGACCATGAAAAGGCTAGTTCCCTATAGGTCTGTCAATTTTGTATTTAATTATTAAATTAAATACAATTAAATTAAAATATTAAATATTAATTATTATAGAAGCGAGCTGTTATAGTGAGATTAAGGCAGGGGTCCCCATCCCTGGTCCATGGACCAGCACTGGTTTATGGTATGCCACAACAAGCAAAGCCCCATCTGCAGGATGTAGAGAGCATATGAAACTCCCTCCAGTCCACAGAAAAACCTCTCTCCACAGAACTGGTCCTTGTTGCCCAAAATTTAGGGGACGGGGCAAACCATTAAAATCCCTTCCAGTGAGAATATAGATTGCCCTCTTAAGCAAAGAGCAACAACATGTTGAACAATTGGTGCACAAGTTCAGAGGAGGATGACAAAAATGCAGGAACTTCAAGACGTGATCAAGACTATTCAAGGACGGTGGGGAAACTTAATTTGAAGAAGAGGAGACCGAGGGAGATAGGATCTCACTGCTCAGGTATACAGAAATATATTGTTGAGAACATGATCACTGCCAAGGAGACTAGGACCAGAAATGATAGATGTAAGTTGCAACTATCTAGATTTCATTTCATTATAAGAAAAAGCTTCCTAAATAGAAGAAATAGAAGAATAGCAGTCTGTGTTTTTATGAATAGGCTGGACAGGATAATTTGGTTGGGTTTTTTTTTCTTCTGTTATGAAGAGTTGAATGAGATTATCTTTGTGGTCCCTTCCAACTGTTAGTATGCTAATGTTGATTTTCATGATTTCTGCAAATTCTAGGTCAGTCAAAAAACTCTGGAAGAACAATGTGGATCGAATGGTGAGTCAGCTTGTTTATGTCACTTGGCCAAAGGTTCTAACTCTCTCAGATATTTCCCAACCAGAACAAACAAAAGAGTTGTTTCTTTTTAAATGAAAGCAGCCCTGGGTTTATTTGTGTACTTTTCAATACTGAGCAGAAAAAATAGAAGAGAATAGTTAGCGAAGCCCCTTACCTTCCACAATCTTCCTATACAGTTACCTCATATATTATTCTAGAGTTCTAGAATTCAACTATAACTCAAGAGTTATAACAAACATCTTAATGGTTTTTGTATGGCACATCAGTATGCAATTGAGACTATTCTTATTTCCTGTAACACATGTCACCAGATAGTTTTAAAGTGGTCAAACATGATGATCTAATTGGGTGAAATGGAGAAACACTATATGAAGTTTCTCAACTTCTTTTCCAATCATTGCTTAGCTTGTTTGCAAAGCAACAGTTTCATGGCTAAAGGATTTGTGAATAGGTGGGTTTTATTCTTAATATGCCAAAAATGAGAAGACAGAGACGCAAAGTCCTACATTTCTTCTTATGCACTGGGATTTCCAGGATCCAATTTAATTGGCAGTAACCACATATATCCTGTGGGACATCAATTGTACCACATAATAGGACAAGTTGAAGCTCAGGACTTAACTAAGCCTTCCACTTTTTATCAATACAATGTACATCAGGTACCTGTAACAGAAAAATTGCCACATTTTGTGTGTGTGTGTGTGTGAAAACTTCATAAAAATACATTGTCTTTTTATCAGTAAGCTCTCTCTGATTATTCATCAGATAGGGAAAAACTTATATTTGAATATCCAAAGATATTAGGATATATTCCTCTTTCCCTGATCAGGTTTATTTCAGCTCTAAGGACAAGATCCTAGATTAACTCTGAGAAAAACTTCATTAAGCTAAGTATACTATTTTGCAAGTGGAAAGCTATTTCATACCTCTTCGTTAGGGATAATTCTAATTAAATTTAACTTAATACAGTATGTTACCATCATATCAATAATCCCAGATCCTAATTTAATTAACTGGCTGTCCCTTCTTGTAATACAGGCATCTTCCTTGGATAATTCATCTCATACTGTCAGACCCAAACCCAAAGCCAATACAGTGAGATCTAATCAAATACATTTTTTATTTGACCTAATACCCAGAATCTTGCCAGACTAAAGCTATAACCTTCTGACCTGATAGATATACCCTGGAAGATTCTAGGTTGTGGCTACACCAAACTTTTTCCTTCCCTCCCATATCCAGTTTAGGACTGCACAGTCTCTTGTCTTGGGACTTTCTCTGGAATGTGCTGCCTTGTCCCTGAGAAGCTGCAGCGCTACTGCCAACATTGCTCTGACTCTTTATTTAACTGCACATTCCATCACATGCAGAGTGCTAATTGGCTTTCTTGCAGTAAAGTCCCACGCTTTTCTCTTTCTACTTTTTCCTAAGCACGTATAAAGTGATTAATTAAGTGGAAGTGAACATGCCAATTACTATTGCATTATTACATTTCAACATCTGCTTGCCCAGACCATTCAGATAATTATCCATTGTTGCTATTTATTAACTCATAACGTGCCCTCAATACAATAATCTATCAGCACTTGTCTTCCATCTTAACCTTCTGTTTTTCCAGTGTTGAGGAACGTTGACTGACTTCTTGAATCTCGCCACTTTAGATGTGTGGGACTACAACTCCCATAATCCTAGACAATAAATAGGCTATCTACTTCTGAAAGGGGTAGAAGACTGGGGTCGGCTTCTTTAGCATTACCATAAAATTAATTTGCACAAGTTTAGATTTAGTTGAGCTTCTGAGATTTATTTGTTCAGATCAAGGCTCGGCATGACTTCTAACTCTGCATTTGGCAATACCCTCTGATACTGGGAGTGTCAGATAACATGCAGTTGGATAAATGATGCACGTTAATCATTCACAGCATTTGATAGTTATTATTTCAGATTGTGCCAAGGGCCATTTAATCCTTTGCTGATTAAATCAGAGTCCACATTTGAAATCTTGAAGTGACCCTGCAAACGGTCTTGAGAGACTACATATTTCTAATTTAATTGTTTTGAGAGTTGGAATGTGAGGCCTGATTTGGTGGGAAGAACATATATTTCATCCCAAAGTAAACTGATGAAAGGTATTAGCTGGATAAAACAGAGATAGGTAAATCCTGGGGAAAACAAATTAAAGAGATAAAGTCTCAGGGACCTTTCAGTCTCTAACTGCTGCTTGTGGCACATGCTTAAGTCTGAAGCTTTCTTTGGCACTCATCAAATTGTTATCCTTAGTTTTGGGAGCTAGAAACTTCAGTGGTTTTCTTTTTAACATTCTACTCTAAATTGCAAGAATCCTACAGGGAAGCCAATGCTTCTCTATCTTTATAGGGGAGAACATTGTCTGCAATCTTGAAGGAAGCTCTGGTTTGTTCCCATTCTTAAGATACATTCTTTGGACTCAGGCATCCTTAACAATTATTGCCCCATCTCCAATCTCCCCTTGCAGGAGACGTTGTTGAGAAGAGGGTTGGAAATCACCTGCAGAATGTCCTAGACCTAGGTTATCTGATTTCCATTCCATTAGTTGTTGGGCATGGAAGGAAAACTGCCTTGGTTGTGCTAGTAGATGGGCATTGAAATGACTGGGGAAATGGTACTCCTAGCGACAATCAACATCTGAACAGATTTCAAGATCATCAACCATGGTAACCTTTCTGAACTGCCTGTGAAATTTGGAATTAGAAGTATTATTTTGCAGTAGTTCCTTTTCCTGAGTGGACAGTTCCAGTCAACTGTAGGAAGGAAAAAGAGATCCAGCAACTATTTATTTGTGCCCTGGTGATGAGTAGCTGCCCCTATTGTTTAATACCTACATCAGGGGTGACAAACTCATGGCTCATGGGCCAGATGTATCATATGCTGGCCATGCCCACCCCAGTTTGGCGAAGGGAAAAAAAGTCATGATATGTCATGTGATGACAATGTGACACCATGAGTTTGATACCCCTGACCTACATGAAGCTGCTGGAGAAGTCATCCTTCAGAGTAAGGTATTGTATCTACAATGTGCTGATTATATCCAATGGTACATGATCCCCATTCTGCATTTTTTTTCTGGCATTTCCATGAAAGTCTTGATCTAGTGCTTAGAAGCTATAGGGACTAGGTCGGATAAAGAGGCTGAAATTGAACACATTGATCACTTAGTGCTGCTAGTAGCATTATGCTCTTATACACCCCCCCACCATTGTATTTTCTTTTTTTTCCAGGCTTACTGTGATGAATTCATTGCAGAATGGAGAAAGTTGAAGCTGGATGTTGTGCTTTGTCCTGCTTTGGGCCCAGCCTTTAATCTAGGATACGCTGGCAAACTATTTGGTATCAAATCCTACCCCCACTATAACTTTCTCTGTGTGCCTTTGTTCTTTTGCCTGTTCTAAGAAGGGTTAGATTCCAGGGGTGTGAAAAAAACAGTCCTGCAAGGTGTGCAACTGCTTCTTGTTTCTGAAGCTCTGACATCATTCTTTTGATCACTCCAGCTCCTGAGTTGATTGGGAGGAGGGCCCTGCTAGATGAGGCCCCAGATGCCAATAAACAAGTTTCAATCAATTCAAATCTTTATTATGGTCATATACAAACATAAGGAGAGTGGAGTACAGTCAATTAAAAGCATAGAAGGTACAACACAGTCTTTAAAAAAATGAAAAACTAGAAGATGTTAAAACAATGTGTATACACACACACACAAATAAATAAATAAACTATAAGAAGGGATAGGAGCATTAGATAGATACAGGGGAATATAAAAGGCTTGTATGTGGAAGATATAGTTCTATATAGAGCACCCCAAAATGGTGAACTGGGTGCTCATTAAGTCCAGTTTCCATCTGTGCCCTCAAATCTCCTTTACAGGAAAGCATGTAGAATGAATTAAGGAACCTGTCACAGGGGAGGATATTGGCTGGGTGATCAAAAGATATAGTCAAACGTAGCTTCCTATCAGAGTAAAATAAAAGTGAGAAAGCAGACTCTAGCAGGTAACACTGTAAAGGAAATAGAACTGCTTTCTAGATAATATTGGCAGTAATGCAGTAAGAGAGTAGATAGATTAATAATGAAGCACAACAGTCAATTCAGAACTGACCAATTTAGTTCTTCAGATTATGAGGCAAATCAGAAAATGCATACATATGTACATACATGCTATATGTTACTTTCTTAGATATGACCTTGGTTGATAGGGGTGTCTATTGGTAAGTAGAGCAGCTGAGTAAACTTACTTCTGGGGCTCACCCTTATTTCCTGTTTGCTCCTGGGAGCAGATAGTCCATTTCCTATTTCTCAAGGGTAAGAACCTTGTTCCCAGCCTGTTCTGAAGACAATTTCCACCCATCTTTTCTTGCTGTGCATAAGAAGGGCTGTTCTTTTAATCTTTACCAGCATAAGGGATGCCATGAGGTTCATCTGCTGTGCTTTATTACATTTGGATAAGACACTATTATAGTGAGAACATTTTTCCCACCATTTTTGTGTATTTTCTTTTATTATAGTTGCTGCTTCTTAGGTCTGAGCTACTGTGTTGCCTGCTTGCTTCTGAAAGCCCTCTTTACATAACCCCAAAGCCTGCTTAGATCTATAAGGCACATCCCAGGCCTTGCATTGACTTCCTATATACACACATAAAGACACCAGTGATTTGGGAAACAGGTTCAACATTCACGTGTGGGGACTTCACACTCCACAATTGAATAACTCCAGTGATGTGGGCTGAATATACACTTTAGAGTTTTGTTAGAGTTCACTGGTGAGCTGCAAGGCCTTTCTTTTTGAAACTGGGTTCACCAGTGGATCAACAAAATGCTAGATTCATGAATGATGAACATCAAACATTGGACGGACTGGGATAGGGGAAGGTTGAAAGTCTCACATTGAAGATAGAACCAACAAAAGGTCTATAAATAGAAAGTATGTTTCACAGAGACCTATCCTTAGAAAGGAAAGCACTTGGTACTCTGGCATAGATAGAGAACCCATAGGTCAGAACATATGGTAACTGTAGTCCAAATAGATCATTCCCAAGGTGGAGGGACAGGCTATGTTTCAGAGATGAGGCTAAGCTAGCTTTTTTCCACCGGATTTACCTTGAGGCTCAAGCAACTTATGGCTGCCAAGTGGCACAACCCTAAGTATCCACCAGGAACAATTTTGCAACTGTTCTTAGAGTCATTTCCAGGGATGGGATTCTACAGGTTCTCACCTATTCGCTAGAACCTGTTGTTAACATTCTAAGCAGTTCGGAGAACCAGTTGTTAGAAGAAATTACTGGCCTAATCCTGTAAGGAAGGCAGGAAGGAAACATTCTGGTGTTGCTTACAGAAACTGCCTCTCCGTTAACTCTTATTACATTCTTGGCAGAACTAGACTTCCTGCCTCAGGAACTTCTCTGGAGTTTTTTCCCCCTCCTTTGCTGGTACTTTGCTTGTGTGGAGTGACCATTCAAAGGTACAATGGAAAAAAGTAACTTATGACCATTTTTCACACTTATGACTGTTGCAGCATCCCCACAGTCATGAGAGGCCAGGCGAGGAGATGCATGCTTTGATGTGAATGATGTTGAGTTGGCCACACCCAGCCAATAACATGACCACCAAGCCATGTCCACCCAGCCACATGACCACCAAGCCACACCCACCACCTAAGCCACGCCCACAGAACCACTTGTTAAAAATATTGAATCCCACCCCTGGTCATTTCAGGTGATTTATCGAATGATAAAATAATGCAAGACAAGCATCTGGCAGCCGTGACATTTCAGGCTCATTTCCTTATTCCTCAAAAAAAAAAAAAAAAAATCCCTGAAGAGAAGATGATGATGCTATTTCTCTGCAAGCACTAGATCTTTTCCTGCACTTGTAAATTGCTCCAATTTCCTCACCAGAAAGCTATTACCCTGAAGCATAGCTCTCTTGTTACTATATCCATGTAGTTATATAGCAGTTGTGGATTGCAACTCTAATAAAAAGGCAAATGCTTCTGAAAACGTTATGTTTCCATCCTCCCTCTTTCAGGACAAGCTACAAATGATGCTGGCCAACTCTTGAAAACATATTCAACATATTTTATTTGCTGATTTTCTCATCAAAGCCACAACCTCCCGCCCTCTCGGGCAACTGCATCACTGCCAGCATCTTGTGATGGTGCTGGTGGCATCCACCCCATTTGGCTTCCTGGCTTGTGGAGGATGAAACTGGGTAGCATTTGTGGGCTGCAGAATGCATTGTACTGTTATGCTACGAATATGTTACAGTCACAAAACAATGGCCTGATCCTGTTTAGAAATAAATAACTTATATATGGTGTCTTTTCCAGTGGCTACTACTTATACCCATCTATATAATGTCTTGAATTTTCCTGCTGGGGTTGTACCAGTCACAACGGTTACACAAAAAGATGAAGAAGAGCTGAAGCATTACAAAGGGCACTATGGAGACTTCTGGGATACGAGAATGAAGGAGGTTAGTTAATAGCAAGAAATGCAATTGCCATACATGACAGTCAAGATATTACCAAAATCTTCCCTTTGCAGTACAAAACTTTAGCAGAATGGATCCTGCTTGGCTGCTCCTCTGAAACCGGTGAAATTTGGTGACTGGTTTCCTTTGGAGAAATTTGGGGAACAGTCTCTTGGAAAAAAATTCAGTTATTTCATTCTAGAGTGGGCCAACTCATCACAACCAACTTGCTGCAACTCATCATGGCCATCTCGCCATGGGACAATTTAACGATTCAATTTAATTATTTAAAATAAATAAATAAATATTTAAATTTTTGTCATTCACATTTCATTCTGTCCTTCCTTTTCTCTTCATTGCTTGGATATTAGTGTAATTCTTCTCCCATGGTTCATTGTCCCACGGCGAGTTGGCCATAGCAATGATGTTTCGCTTCTCATCCAAGAAGTTTCTTCAGCTCTTGGATGAGAAGCAAAAGAGCTTAAGAAGCTTCTTGGATGAGAAGTGAAACATCTTCAAAGAAGTGCAACATCTTCAAAGAAAAAACAGAAAGTCCAGTTGCCTCTTGAAAAAGCACCTTTGGGACAACCATGACCTGGAGGACTGAGAATCTCTGCAGATATCGGGCCATGGCAAGTTTTTCTAATTTGAGCATGAAACTGTTTAAATGAAATAGGTCCTGCTGAGTTTTAAAGGACTTTTATCTCCTTTAAGGGAATTTGAGCTATAGCTTGGTATGATCCTGTAAGCTTTGAATCTGCCAAAAATATAGCTTTGAATAGGCTGTGAATTCTGGTGAGTTCATTGACATAACAATATTGTTGGCCATAATATTGTAAGACTGCATTTGCATTTGAGCCCTTTTTGCTATGGAAAATGCTCATTGGAGAAGAAGTTACTCTTTTTATGGTATACCTCTAGCTCAGGCCTGTACAACTTTATTATCAGACTCAAATGATGTAATGATTTAAAGATTACTAAACTGTATTTAAAAAATAATTGTTTCCATATTCACATCTTTTCTTCTATTTTTCTGGTTGATGATTGCAACAAAGATGCATCCATCCATCCATTCATTGTTGGCAGCAATAATCAGTCAGCCAGTTCCTTTGCCTTGTTTGTTGCTGTTGTTGTTACTTATTTATTTTATTTATTTATTTATTTATTTATTTTTGTCAACTGTTTACAAGATAATAGGTATAAGTAAAAACATAGTTATGAATACATGGATACATATAAGAAAAATAAAATGAAATAAAAGAAACAATAGGACAGGGACGGTAGGCACGTTGGTGCACTTATGCACGCCCCCTACAAGCCTCATAGGAAAGGGGTAAGGTCAATAGTAGACAATGTAAGGTTAAAGTTTTTGGGGTTTGGGGAAGAAACCACAGAGTCAGGTAGAGTATTCCAGACATTGACCACTCTGTTCCTGAAGTTGTATTTCCTGCAATCAAGTTTGGTGCGATTAACCTTGGGTTTGTATCTAATGTTTGCTCTTGTGTTGTTATGGTTGAAGCTAAAGTATTCATTGACAGGTAGGACATTGCAATGTATGATTTTATATACTATACTTAGATTGGACCGAAGGTTCTAGTTTTCTAGGTCTAGAATTTCAAGTCTGGTGGCATAAGGTATTCTGCAACGAGTAGAGGAGTGGAGAACTCTTCTTGTGAAATATTTCTGGACTTTCTCAACTGTGTTAATATCAGATACGTAATGTGGGTTCCAGACTGATGAGCTGTATTCGAGTATTGGTCTAGCAAATGTTTTGTATGCTCTAGTTATTAGTGTAATATTACCAGAGAAAAAGCAACGTAAGATTAGGTTAACAACTCTTAACGCCTTTTTGGCTATGTAGTTACAGTGGGCTCTAGCACTTAGGTCATTAGAGATGAGTACTCCAAGATCCTTGACAGAGGCTGGATCACCAACAAGGTCTTGACTATTCAGCCTGTATTTTATTTTCTTATTTTTTTTGCCAGTATGTAAGACAGAGCATTTATTTGTTGAGATTTGAAGTTGCCATTTGTTTGACCATTCTGATACATAGTCAAGGTTTTTTTGAAGGGTAGCAGTATTGTCTGTGGTGTTGAATAGCTTTACATCATCAGCGAAGAGAACACAGTTGTTCTTGATATGATTACAGAGGTCATTTATGTAGAGTATGAAAAGAATTGGTCCTAGAACACTGCCTTGGGGGACACCACTGTTTACAGATACTGAATTTGATAGGACGCTCCCAATTTTGACCATTTGTTGTCTGTTTGACAGGAATGCTTCTATCCAGTTATGCAGGTGTCCAGAGACACCATAAGATTTTAGTTTTAGGAGTAGTTTCTCAAGTACCACTGAATCAAAGGCTTTACAGAAGTCTATGTAGATTGCATCTATTGCTTTGCCCTGATTGAGTTGTGTAGTCCATAAGTTTTTGCAGTGTAAGAGTTGCAGATTACATGATAGTTTTTTCCTGAAACCAAATTGTTTATTAGAGAGTAGGTTGTTTGTCTCTAAGTGGAGGATGATGGATTGGTTAATAATTGATTCCATGACTTTGCAGATGACGCATCATAAAGAGATTGGTCTGTAATTTTCAATTAGGCTGGGGTCTCCCTTTTTGAAGATGGGGATGACTGTGGCTTGTGACCATAGTTTTGTCAAGGAGCTGGTCCTGAAAGATTTTTCAAAGATTATGCTTAGAGGTTTGGCTATGGCAGTGGATAGCTTTTTTAAGAAGTAGGCACATATTCCGTCCGGTCCAATAGATAGAGATGGTTTTAGATTGCGTAGTGCTTTTTCAACATTGTCTTCTGTAAAATCGATATGTATTAGATCATTGTAGTTGTCTGTGGTTCGACTAGGAAATACTGGGCATGATCCATTGCTGTTTACAAATACTGAGCCAAAGAATGTGTTAAAGATGTTGGCTTTAATAGTGTCATCGTTGCAGTCTTTACCATTAGGTCCTTTCAGGGGTGGGATGGACCTTGAGTCTTTTAGTTTGTTGTTTACAAAATTGTAGAGAGCACAGGTGGAATTGGTGCATAGAAGGTTTTCTTCTTGTTTAATGTGATAATTGGTGCATTCAGTTTTTATCTGGTGGCATAAATTTTTGTATCGGCTTTTGAAGTTGGCAATGTGACCAGATTTGTTTTTCTGCCGAAGTGATTTCTTTTTGGATTGAAGCTTCCTTATTGTTATGGGTAATTTGTTTTTTCTGGTTTTGGGAGTTGTTAATGGTACATATAGTTTGATGACTCTTTTGACTTCAAGTAAAAATATGTTGTAATGGTCTTCTACAGTATTGCATCCAGAGAATAGAAATTGCCAATCAAGGGATGAGAGATCGTTGTTTATAAGATCATAGTTGCCTTTTTTGAAGTTATAATTGGGGATTTCATCGTCGTGATGATTTTTGTGTGGACGTATATAGAGACAAAAATCAATCATGTTGTGGTCACCGTTGGAAGGGTTCTTTAATTTGTATTCCATAAATTGAATTCAAACTATTGCAGAAGATGAGATCAAGGAAGTTGTAAGTCTAGTGTTGTTGGTTACTAGTTGTTCTAGTCCCAGATTTGTTACTGCATTGTAGAAGGTTGCATGTGTGGGTTCAGTTGTACATTTGTTAAGGGTCCAATTAATATGAGGTAGATTGAAGTCACCAAGAAAGATAAAAGCGTGTGGGCAGGATGCTGCCCATGTTAGTAGTGTATTTAGCTTGTTTGCATGTTCAATGTCATAATCAGGGGCTCTGTAACATAGTAAGGACCGAAATGTGATATTTAAGGACAGTTCACAGACAATGGTTTCAGGAATAGCAAGCTCCTGGGTAACTTGGATGTTTTTTAGACGTAGGGAGTTTTTATAGAAGATAGCAATACCACCTCCTCTACGGATTTCACAATCCGATTGGTAAACGTGATAGTCTCTTACTGTGGTAATGGAGTTAGGGAGAGATGCATTGAGCCATGTTTCACAGACAAATATAATGTCGAATTTAGCCGTATTTAATAAGAGGAGAAATTAAGGTATATAATTTACAAGGCTTCTTGCATTGAGTAGCTTGCATTTAAGGTCAGTTGTGGTTGCAATAGAGGTAGTTAGGGGCGGGCGTGCCTAGTTTTGAGTGATGTTGGATTGGATAGGGTGGGGTTGGATGTGGAGTTGTGGGTTGTGTGACTTTCTTTTGATGCAATCAGCTCTGTAGTCAACGTATAGGTCCTTTTCTCCATTGTCTAGACAGTTTTTGAGTTCTGTGCGGAGTTCACAGGAGCGGATTCTTTGCAGTATGGATAAGTCTGGTCTTGAGCATAGTTTTTTGTGGTTGGGATTGGTTTTTGCAATGGCATTTATTGTATGAATGAATATGTATTTGCTGGACTCATTTTTGCATACAACTCTACAAAATCTTGAGGCCACAGAGCCGTCATTGTATTTGCACCCAGGGCCATCTCTGGTTATTTCAATGATATCTTCAGGAGAGATCTTTGTTGTATTTGAGTTGCTTATGATATCATGAACTTTGGTGATGTCGTCTGATTCGTTGGTGTCTTCAAGACCAAATAAGATGGCATTTGGACATTTCTGTTCACGTTCCATGGTGTCTCTGATGAGTAAGGAGATATTATTTGTGAAATTATTTGAAGGGATAGTAATTGTTTGTGGCTGTGGTTTGGTGGTTATTTTTGGTTGTAGTTGTGATTGTAGTTGAGGTAGTGGTTGTGGTTGTTGTGGGATTTGATTTTGAGCTGATAGGTACTCATCTGTGCTGTATTTTTTTTCCCAAGAGAGATTAGGCTTGCTTGTATAGTTGTTTCAAAACATGTTGCTAAGCGTTCTTCTATTGAGTGAATGAGTGATTCTATGCTTTCAACTCTGTCAGGTAGGGCACTCAGTTTGTTTAGCTTAGGAGAACATGATGGACATAGATAAAAGAATGTATCTGAATTTTTAACCGTATCAACTAGGTTTTTTGTTTGCGTTTAAGCAGGCAGGGTGGCCTAGATTATCGTATAGGTGGCATTTGATGTAAATTTCACTTTCATTGATAGTTTCAAGACATTTGAAACATGTGCAGGAGTCTAGGAGGTCATTGGTAGAGATATTTTTCTTTTGTTTTGTTTTGGTGTTTTTGGCTGGCATGGTCAATGGCAATAGTACAGTAATCAATTACAATAGCTAGTTAATGTGATAGGTAGACAGTTACTTATGAATGTTGGTAATTAATAAATTTTAATTGATATGTTAGAGAACAAATCAAAAGTAAGGTTACTTATTACTAAAATCAATCAATCAATCAATTGGTTATTCAAATCACTCTAATCAAATAATTTTGCTAAACAACAAACAGCCTAATTTATTACAGTAATTACTAAACATACTGGTCAATTAAATTCACTAAATCACTGATTTTACTAATCAGATATTCAGTAATTACACTATATGCACCAAAACATTCAATCATACTAATCAATAAAAACAATAAATCAATTAATCATTTGATAAAAATTAATTATTTTAAAGAAATTGATTTTTGAGATAATGAAAGTAATGAAGTTGTATTGCGAGTTAGTAAGTAAAGGGTTATTGCTTTGCTTTGCTTTGCTTAGCTGTTGCTGATATCTGAGAATAGATGTATAACCTCTAATAAACTGGCAGGAAGTCTCTTTTCCTGGCTGTTTGAAAACTATCAGTGAGCAAGGGTTTACACTCTCTTTCTTGTTTTGTAGATTGAGTTTTTGAGATAGTAAAGATGCCAAGATGCTGAAGGGGGGATCTCTGGCCCCTTCTTCAGCAGAGATAAACAGAACAATTCACTGGGAGGCAACAGGAAACTTTTTGTTTTGTTTTCCCTTGATGAATGGGATTTCTGGCCCCCTCCTAGTTAATTTAAACACACTTTCAAAGTGTGTTGCTTTTAAGAGAAAGAGGCACGTCGATAGTCTTGCACTGGCAATTTGAACAGTTTATATTTTTACTATGTGGACTCAGATTTGTATTGAGCATTCGCTCCTGGCTTCAATATACTTCTGCTTCTATCACAGGAAATAAAATTGCTTCCAATCTTCACAGGAGTTCAGTTATAACAATACTTCCCTACTTATTGAAAGTCCAAAGTTACTGTCCTTTTAAAGAGGGAGTCCGGATTAGCAATTTGGTGCAATTTGGGGAAGAGGGAAGGAGGGGCGACAGGGGGGAAGCAGTCTGCTTCACACCCTGGCTGCAAACTGTCTGAAAGCAAACTTTCTAAGATTTTCTGATGGTGTTGTGCATCTCAAAACCTCTAATAGTCTAGCCCTTGTAAGCATGCTTTTGAATGACAATGGTGATGAGTGGGTGCTGAATCAGTGTCTCCCATTAGATAGAAGAAGGTATTTCTCCTCACTTTCCTCTAAGTTTCAAATCACATTGAGTTCAAGGACTGATTTGCAGTCAAGAAGACTGATGAATATGTTGAGTAATATCTTATTGTTTGCATTTCTCATATAGGCTGTGAAACATGCTGTGGGGCTCCCTGTAGCAGTTCAGTGTGTGGCCTTGCCATGGCAAGAAGAATTGTGTCTTCGGTTCATGAAAGAAGTGGAGAGAGTTTCCCATGGGAGATGGGGAAAGAGAAAAATATGATCCTGTCAGAAAGAAGCCTGCAAGGAACATTGACCTTTCTAAATAAACTTTATTATTGACTTATGCAGTTTATTGCTGGGTTAGCTCAGTTTTCACCAATGTTCAGCAAGACAAGATATGGAGACATTAGAAGATACAGTTTAGAAAGTAGAGAATTTCTAGCAATGTTTTGTAATTAGGGCTAAATAAAGCATATGGACAACATGATCTTTCAGACAGACACCTCTGAATTATGCTATCTCATCAAAGGTATCATACAATTATTCTGTCATTCCTTCATCAACTATTGAGACTTTGAGTAAGCTATACATGGGAAATGATGGTGTCAGCAAATTCTGTACTATAAAATTCTGTGAATGAGATAAGTTGATTGTGCAATTCAAAAATACCTTTTCTGTAAACCTGAACAGATGAATCTGGAACAATTTAAAACCAGTGATCTAGGATATCACTGTGGTAACTGATACTATTTTTGAATCTCAAAAATTATTTGCAAAACTGAAATGAAAGTGTTAGTTCTATGTGAAAAAACATTGCCAGATAGATTAATCTCCCAAAAGAATGAATGGAAAGGACACAGAAGGAAGGATCATCTGGGAGTTACCTGAATCATGGTGAAAAGAATTATAATATAGAATGTCACAAACATTTGTGGATGTATGCTAAAGGAAGCTTGGAAAAGGATATTTGGTGATGTGATGAAATAAAAAAAAGATTGTAGAAGGATGGAAAAATGAATATAAGAACAATATTAAAATGAATATAAAAGATTCACGTGCCTGTAGAGAAAATACAGTTGTAAATAATATAAGTCAAAGAGAATGAGGCTTGGTTAAAAATAAGTGGTAGACAGAGAAATGCAGGTTGATTCTCAGCTCGAGATGGAATTAAAATATTACTTTGGAAGTTGGTGAGGTGGGCTATAAAAGAAGTTTGGGCTATAAAATATTACTTTGGAAGTTGGTGAGGTGGGCTATAAAAGAAGAAGTACAGAAAATTGAAAATGCTGGGAGAAGCATTTGGAAAATAGTGGTGTGTCAAAGAATGGTATTGAAACAAATAGTATTAGAATTAACATTCAAGAAAAATATGGTGAAAAGCAAATCATAAATGCTGTGGTTTTTTTAAAAGGTAAGGTTGCAAGGGTAACTCTGTATATGCTTAAATATAGATGTAGTTTGCTAACTCTAATCCTTTATGGCTGTTCAACTTGTTTAATATATTTAATAAATGTATATGTCAAAACTTGTTTAATGTGTGTATAAAGACACACACATGCCTGACAATCGGAAGAGTGCCATTATTGTTCTCTAATATAGGGGTCTCCAACCTTGGCAACTTTAAGATTTGTGGACTTCAACTCCCAGAATTCCTCAGCCAGCAAAGTCCACAAGTCTTAAAGTTGCCAAGGTTGGAGACCCCTTCTCTAATACAGATAGTAAGACTGAACACAAAAAGGGGGATTCATTTAAGTGTGCCTGGATTGTGATTGAAAGAAGATCAGAGGTGACAGTTACCACATTTTGGGAAGTGTAGTTTGGCTTTACGATGATCATGGAATACACAGACCATATTTTTGCTCTTTAGCAAGTCACTAAGAAGTGTATGAATATGAGGAAGTTTATTGGACATTTTGTTAACTTAAAGCATATAATAATAATGAGTACTAATTTATTACATTTCCATGCTGCCTGACTCCCAAATGTTAAAACATTTAAAGACAAAAAACATGAAACAGTGCTAAAGGCAAAAAAAACCCAAAACACACAAACAGCAAAGACAAAAGAACAAAGATGGCAATAAACAAACAAACAAACCCAGAGGGAAACAGAGAGGAAGAAAGGAGCATTAGTCATCCCCTCCAAAGACTCGGGTAATGATACACATGAAACTCTTCAGAATTAGATGGCATGCATATCAGTGTCTCAATTTATCACACACTCTCAAGGATTCTTGGCTAGCTTGGAAGCAACTCTGCATGTCTCTGAGAGCGATAACATCAGCAGTGTTGGAAAGCTGAGTGTGTTTGTTCATTTTAGAGGCTGGAATTCTGTAGAAGCTCCTCCTTCCTGTTGTTCTGAGTTTCTGTTCTTCTAAGGCAGGGCTGTCAAACTCAAGGCCCACGGGCCGGATCTGGCCCATGGGGTGCTTAGATCCGGCCTGTGGGGTAGCCATGGAAACAGAGAATGACTGGCCCACAGTGCCTCTGCTAGTGAAAATGGAGCTCGGGAGGGTCATGCTGGGCTGGGGGTGTGGGGAGAGGGCTAGCAAAACAAACTAAAAGCAAAACATAACAAAAGGAGAAATGTTTTGCCTTTGAGCATCCAAGAAGGGACAGGAAAGGAAAAACAGAAAGAGGAAAGACAAATTAAATGAAGGAAAGAGAGAAAGGAAGGAAAAAGAAGGAAAGAAGGGAAGGAAGAAGAAAGGAGAATCAAGAGGGAAGGAAAAAGAAGAAAAGGAAGGAGGGAGGGAGGGAAGTCCTGCCTTAGCACTTGGCCACCAGCAGATGGCAAGGCTCCTCTGGAGACTAAGGGTTAGGCACTCTTCCTAGTCAAGCCTTCCTCCACTGGAGACAATGGATCCTATCAGCACTGCCTGGACCACCACAGGTGTTCCTGACACAAGTGATGTTGGGCTGGTCACACCCACCCCAGCCGTGCCCCGCCCAATCCCCTCAGGTCAAACACAATCCTGATGCAGCCCTCAATGAAATCCAATTTGACACCCCTGTTCTAAAGGGAATGATGGTTTTGCGACTTGGCAGATCCTCCTCAGTAGCCCACTGACAAGATTTTTCATCAGTTTCCTACCGTTCTTCTGTAAAGCGTCAGCTGCGTGCAAAGCACACGTTTGTCCTTTCTTTTTCTTTTTTTCCTTTTCTTTCTTTCACTTGAATGGAGATTCTTGTTGTCGCAGGAGATGCGACCACCAGTCACAGACCAGCAATTTTTCTCTTTTTTTTCAATAATACATTGCAAATGTGTGGATCACTGCTAAAGTGCTTCCGAGGGTTTTGAAACTAAAAAAGCTAATGGTGCAAAGGGTCCTCCATCCCCGATTTTGTTCTCTTGAATACCCCTCCCCCCTGCCACTTGAAAGCTCAAAATTAAACACAGTTGCTTTGAAAGGAGAGACAATAAGCTTCTGTGCAGAATGATGATTCATTTTCATTTCAGTGTTCCTTCACCCACACTGCCTTAACACCGAGAAAGACAATGCCTAGAAATATTTTTCTCAACTTCAAATATTTTTCTGACATTGTGAAATAATGCCGCATTTCCCAACTAGATAATGGACATTAATGATCATGGCTGATTTCTTAATGCACACAAGACAAGGGCTGGTCTGTGTATGCTAAAGGGAAATGGACAAAAAGGAGCATAAAAAAAGGAAGTGCATGATTATCCTTCCCTACTTTGTACAATCAAAAGGGGAGAAAAAAAGAACCACCTTATGTTTGTTCTTGATAGATTTTTTGGTACAAACAAACGGGTTTGGGGCAGTGGTGGGATTCATTTTTTTTTACTACCAGTTCTGTGGATGTGGCTTTGTGGGCATGGCAGGGGAAGGATACTGTAAAATCCCTGTTCCCTCCCCACCCCACTAACCTGCTTTCCAGTTCCATTCTCCTGTGCAGGGCAACAGCCGATCAGCTTGGACTCAGGAAGCAGAGAATAGACGGGGATGGGCCAGGCATAGGTAGTATTCTCCAAACTATTCAAAATTTCTGCTACCGGTTCTCCAGAACTGGTCAGAACCTGCTGAATACCACCTCTGGTTTGGGGCCTGTGCCTATGGCTTCATCCCATGATACCTTCTTGAACCAGGCATCTATAAAAGACTTTCCCATAACCGTTTAACCCAACTTTGGCCTTAGCACAGATTCATACATTCTGCTTGGCCCCTTGTCAGTATGTACAAGTCCCTGTTTCTTGAGAGCAGAACAAATAACAGATAACAGATAACCAGAGTTGGAAGGGACCTTGTAGGTCATCTAGTACAACCCCACACCCAAGACAAATGGCAGTCCAATCTCTTCTTGAAAGTCTTCCTCCCGTTCCTAGCCCACTGCCAATGCACACACCCCAACATCGATTCAAAACTGCTGTTCTCCAACTTGAGTTGCCTTAAGCTCTTAAGGGTTGCGTAGACACCGTCAAACATTTCATATCCTTCTAGTAGAAGCCCTAGCTCTGATTGGCTACCCTAGTATTTCTCAACCTCAGCAATGTTTCTCAGAGCTTGGTGGCTGAGAAATTCTGGGAGTCCAAATCCAGACATCTTAAAATTGCCAAGGTTGAGAAACACTAGGATACCATGTCTGGCAGGACCTCTCCAGTAGGTCCAGTGGCTTAATAAGATTATAAGTATCAGATTTTCCTAACTTCCAGGCAACTGTGTTTTCTGCTGGCTAACAGTTAAAATTATAATTTGTGGCTGCTAGACTGTGAAGTGAATGATCTTCAATCCTAAAGCTCGTGTTCCAGTTAATCTTTACATTTCTCACTGAATATTCTTTTGATTTTTGCCCAGGCTGGAAGAAGCATGGTTCCCTTGCTTTCCTACCATCTATTCACAGTATTGCAAAGTGCTTGCTCCCCACAAGCACACACCTGTGTTGTTATATGTAGCAAGATACTGATAGCAGAATAACTGATAGTTATGACCTTATCAAACTTGGTTCAATAGGCTCCTTTTAGAGAGCTGGGCGTGGTTGAAGTGTTAAATTTGATTGGCTCCAGCCCACAGTTACCTGAGCCAGCAAAAATGCAATGTATTCTGTCTTCTTAGCTGAACTCTTCTACTGAACGGTAACCTCAAAAAAGAAAGATGTATCTAAGAATCTTGCTAGTGTTTAGCTTTACAAAAGATAACTGAAATGTGTGGTTTTTACTTTTCCCTGTGTTATGTGTAGGGAAAAAGGGTGAGCTTCTACCACAGGGCTGAACTACATTTTCAAAGTTGAGGTGGCATTGAGAAGACAAGGGTTGAAATAGTTAGGTATTAACACAGCATGGATTATGTAATGTGGGTGGCTTTTTATTGGGCTTAGAAGAACATTTGGTTATTTTTTTACTTTGTGTTGATTTTAGGTTGGCC